AATTTTTTAAAACTCATTTTAAGATTCATTTACTTACATATAAAAATTGAAGCTTTAGGATCCATTTCTTTTGGTGCATTGTATTTGCAAGCTATAAGAATAATTGTACTGGCAAAAAAAAAAAATGTCTCTAGACTCCACAGGATATATTTCAGTGGCATTTCCAAGATTTGCCTTTGCTGGCTTCTAACCTACCTCCTGGGAAGACACAGTGACATTTTATTTTCTGTGTTCTGTGAAGAGTTGTGGCCTAGTGATTGAAGGCTTTAACACTTACAGTAAGATACAGGTTCTTTCTCTTCAGAACAGGTGGTGTTTGTTCTTCAGTCTTAGTGTCAGAGTACTGATTTTTAACATCTAGCCAGTTTTGTTTTATAGTGTAAGATCACGTTTATTTCAGTCAGGCATTATCTGTTTGATTCACCATTTGAAAAATGTCACTGGAGATGATACAGGTCCAGGAGCACTCACAGCCTGTGTCGCTGTGGTAGTAGCTGCTTTTTACGATACTATCAGCTCCTAAATAAGTTTGAGAGTCTCTGATGTGAAATGTGTTGCAAGAAGCATCATCTATTCCTTTGTCACTTTGAGATTAGCATAGCAAGATATGTGCTTGAGATTTCCAGAAATCTAAATAGGAAAGGACAAAATTAAGGAAGAGAAAATAGACATTGCCCAAGACTGCACAGGAAGTCAGTGTAGGATATGATTCTGATATGGCAGATACTGATTATGTTCAGTTGTTATCCTGATGTAATGAAATATTAGCTGCTCAGTGACTCTGCCATTTTCTTATTTCATCTTCCAAGAACAGTGACTATATTGCATGTTCACTGCTCTTACATATAATACAGTACAGATTGGGTTCCATGTGACAGAAGAGATTATCCACTTGAACCAAGCTTTAGGTTTCCCTTTCTCTATCTAAAAAATGTTTTAACGTTCCTTAATCTTAAATATATTTCTCAGACTTTGAGTAAGTTATGTGTTAATTAAATGTTGAAGAATAGTGATTACTTGGTTGTGAATGGACAGCTTTCCTTGGCAAGTTAAAGTGTATGAAAAATAGCAATGTAAAATCTGTACATGTGGTGAATTCTGGTTAGATGTAGCATTCTGCAGGATGGTGAAACTTTCCCTGTATTGCTGTTCAGCTAATGACCAGGAGCAGGAGAGGTGTAGGTGTGTTCCTCTTGATGGAAATGTAAAATGAGGTGTTGTCTGTATTTTCTCTATAGCAGTACAAAGTTGGCAGCTCCTGTTCATCTGACTTTAAGGTTATAATGGAATAACATTCCTTATAAATGGAAAATTATTTTCCATTTACTTTTGTGTCTGCAAGTGGTGTTTATTTAAATAGTGAATAATATTAATATGGACTATTCCAGTAAATGTAAACAGGTTATTTATAAAATAATTTTCAAATGTTTGCAAGCATTTGTTTTCTCAGAAGTCTAATAGAGAAAGGAAGAATAAAAAAGACAACTTGGGCTGGAAACCTCCCTACCTTTGCTGGATTTAACATCTTAATTTAAGCTGTGGTTCCATTTGCTTTTCCTTGGTATCGGTGCTGACACAAACCAGTCCCACCCTTAGCTACTTCTTCCGTCCCAACCAAACACTGTCCTCTTCAGTTGATTTGGCATGATTGGGGGGGGTGTTTGTGGGTGGAGCCTACTATGAATTGGAAACTGGTTTCGCTGAGCCTCCCCAACTCTTTAAGTGATCAGATAGATCAGGAAGGGTGATCTAGTTCAGCATGACCAGCTGCCTGGCATGGGGGCAGAATCAATGGAAGATGTTGAAACAGAGCGAAAGTGTCTTACACCAGAGTTTCTTGTAAACACTTGACCCTGAAGCTATCAGTTTTTGCAAGGGCAGGGATTTTATTCATGTTTAAGTTGTAGCTATTACAGTTGTAAAAATAATATTTTAATTTTGGCCATGGGGTTGTCTTTGGGGTTTTAGTGGCAGCTTTTGTTGCCCTTTGTTGTTTTACTAAATAGCATCAGTATTAATTAAAAAACCATGTTTGCTTATGTATTTTAATTATTTGTGAAATAACATGATGGTGCCAGTTTTACCCAGAGGTGGTTAAATTTGGAGAAACTACGAAGAGCTGGATTTGTGGGCACTTGTACTGCTGACAGGAAGGAAGATTTGGGAGAGCAGTCATCCTCTGTTTTCTTTGGAAGCTGCCATGAATCTGGAAGAAAATTTAAACATTGGAATCTGAGGGGAGGCTCTCTGCTTTGGCTTTCTGATAGGAATTTGTCATAAATCTCATGTGTATGGTCCTTTTGAAGATTATTCTTTTTTTTTTTTTTTTTTTTTTTTTTTGAGTAGACTTGGCTATACTCAGCAATGGAGCTTTGAGAGACCTGACCTCCAAGACTGTGGTTTGACAGGGTCGTATTTTACTGAAATGCCATTTCAGCAGCCTGCATTGCTACTTGAGTTATGCTGGCACAGTTCTTGGAGGGACTTGTGTAGTGAAAGTGATCCAGCTGGAAAATAGTCTGGTTTAGGGAAAGAAAAAAAAAAGGCTTAATGCAGAGTGGAAGAGGCAGTGAGTTGGGAGTAAGAGGACATTTGTAGACTGTTTATGCTGGCAATGACTGAAAGATGGACTCACTGCATTTTTTCTGTCAGTGTTTTGAACATGAAGGAGTTATCCTCACATCTCAGACATCATCAAGTGCAGGACAGAGCTTTGGGTATGTTTCTTTCAGCAGTTCAGTTGAGCTACTTGATGAGAAGAGGAAAAATAGTCCTGTTTCAGGTTTCAATACAGGTGGGCAACATCTTCTGAAGTGCTCTTCAAATATTAGAAAGATACTATGATTCTGCTGAGTCAGCTCAGCAGATGTAACTCCTAGGAAACAAAATTGCCCCTTTCACCCAGGCAGTGATGAGGGATGCAAAGTGCAGTTCTGTGAGAATGTTTATTTAATAACTGCTAGTTAGAAACTGTCAGAGAGCAGTGAGTAATTTTGTGAAGAATCATTTTGTCTTGTGTTTTATGGGTACAGTTGCGTGGATGGTCAGAAGCAGTGCCAAAGGTATGGACTAAATTTATAGAAGGGAAGAGAAGACCTTAAAAATAAGAATTTTTGAAGGAGGAGAATAATGTGGCTCTGCAGAGCTGCTAGTTGCTGTGGAATAAAGTTGGTTTAAAAGCTAAAACTGCTCTTAGATGTTTCAAGAGTGCACCTTAGTAGAAATTGTCTTCCTTGGTTAACATTTTGGGGTGACTTGCTCCACAGTGCTGTGGTCCTTGTTGGTGGGTTTGGCAGTCCTTCTAGCTCAGCAACTTCCAGACTTTTTTTGTTTGTTGGCCTGCTTTCCTTCTGTTAGACTGCAGAATCTCTGCATGCTACTGTGCACTGAGAGCCTTTCTGAGCAGTATCATCTGCTCTGTTGCTGGAGAAACAGATTTAGTTTCTGTTACTTTTTTTAAATGTTCTTCCTCAGGATATTGTGTCTTGTTATTGTACTGAGTGTTGGTACTGTTTGTTACTGTGATTGATGCCATGTTTGTTGTCCTCCCTGTAAGCAGCTTCAGCACCCGTCCCTGTTGGAAGGTGTCGCTTCCCAAAACTTCTGTAAATGAAACAGATGTGGAGATTTGAGAAATAGTCATTTCATTCTGCTGTTGCCAAACATACTTCCCCCAAGCAGTGCTAGGTCTCAAATCTCTCCGTACACTAAGGCAGATGCCATTGTATCAGTCTACCTTTGAGATTTATCTTTTTAACTGCAGGTCTGAAAATTCTTGTTTTTTAAGGGTGGAACTATAACTGATGTGTTGGTTGCTGCAGGGCGGCAGCTGGCAGCAGGAAGAATGCTGTTTTTAAGCTCTGAAATTCTTTTGCGTAGTGTTTTTCTTTTATCAGTGTGATACTGTGCTATACATTCATAAACCTTCTGGGGGAGGACAGGTTTCCTTAAGCTACATTTTTGCAGTACGTAGAACTGTCAATAACAGATTACTGATCTGAGTGCCACAGGCAGTTGTGAATCTCAAAAAAAATATCCACCACCAAATACAGAGGACAAGTTTGCAGGAAGCGTTATTAGATGCTTATGATACTTGTTTCACATGTGTGTTAATAAACGGCTACTGATACACATGAACTAAACTTTTTTATTAACTTCTGTGCAAAGATGTGCCTTGTGAGTAATGTATAGTGTTGCAGGTAAGTGGATTTGGGAGGTCTTCGAGAATAAGACATAATTGGAGGTTTTTTTGGTTTTTTCCCCCTTTCTCTTTCTTAAAAAACCCCTCTAACATATTCCTAGGAGCCTTTTGCTTCTCCCTTTTGCTGGTTGTATCTTTGTGTGTCTCTCTACCTTTGTGGACTTAGTTCTGGTTCTTGAAGTGCTGTCTACCATTTTTTAAACTTGATTTGACTGTAAAACATAGCAATATACTTGTCCAGAGATAAATGTCTGTATCATAGCTGATGAAAAAGTGTAATGTGAAATGAAAACAAGGTCTAGTAAGTTACCTTCTAGAGTAGCATTTCGTACTTGTCCGTTTTGGAAGACTGGAGATAAGTATCACATATTACTCTTTGTGGTAGAACTATAAATTCCTGGTAATAAGGAGAAGTGCTAATGTTCTGTAACTAATAAACAGATTTCAGCTAGTGGAAATGTTTTAATTTGACTTAATTTCAATTTAGATACAAGTTGTGCATCAGGCAGTTATGTCTTAATAGATATTATGTCAGTGAGGTTTTTTGAGATTTGGGTGTTACATAATTTAAAAATGTGTTCAGTCCTATTGTTGGAGTGTTCTCCATCACTTAAACACATTAAAAAATCGTTTTAAAAAAAAGCCTATACAAATTTTGTTTATACGCTGGTTTATGTGTTAAAGTTCAGTTACAGTTTAAAGTCATAATGTTAATTAGTACATAAGCACAAATTGGGCCTAAAGTAGTGTTCTAGAGGTGGCCAGCTTCCATCTATGCAGAACATAGAGCAGTGGTGTCAGTTGCATGTTTATAAAGTCCAGCCTTAGAAATTTAGATGTTTTTAGTGGTAGCAAGAGCTGTTTACCTTTAATCCCTTGCCTCATATTGACATTGTTCATACTGTGACTCTGTTCAGATATATCATTGAAATACACAAAAACAAAGATACATGTAATGTATTTGTACACTCAACTTGAAATGAAAATCACATTTGAAGAACTGGATTAAAAGGATAGAGGTTGGTTGTCTGTTTCTTTTTCTGTGCCTCACCACCTCTTCATTCTCTCTTCAGGTCAGAGTGCCAGATGCAGTACACACCACTGGATCTGCTGATACACATGTAAGTCCAAAACATTAAAAAAACCCAAATTAAACCAAAATGATGACCAAAACAAAAATCAAACAAAACCCACAAACTCAAAATAGACCTGTTCTCTAAAAAAAACTACTTGCTGCAGGTGCATTGGGTGTCTAATCTGTAGGTGTTTGTAAATAAACCATTGATTTCCATGTTTAAAAATATTCCTTGAAACTTTCAAACAACCTCTAGTGTAGGAAGCTCTGTTGTATTATATTGCATTCATAATAGGTACTTGAACAGGAAGAAGCTGTAAGGACTCTCTGCGTGGTTTTCTCTTATACTGAGGAATAGTTCAAAATACGAGGTGATTAATCAGAAGAGTCACTGTGTATTAAAGTGTCTTTTTGTATACAGTTGGCTTCTCAAAAGTGAGATAGTGTGGCCCTAATTTCATCCTTCATTTCTCATAAAAAAGGTAAGAGTAATTACCTTGTCTTCCCCACCCCCCTGCCACTGAAGAGACCTTTGCCCTGGTCATGTGGTTGGTATGTTTCTTGAAGGCCTCCCTTTTTCTGAGCTAAAATAAAAACAGGCAGCAAGAGCCAAACAGCATTAATACTGGACAATTCATTCTGTGGTTTGGATTTTCTTCAAGATTTCAATTTGATTTTGTATATGAAAAAGTCAATTACCAGCTGTTAAATTGCTTGTAAGATAACATTATTCAAGTTGTGATTGCATAAACTTTTTATAAAGAAGTAGGTACTTTTTATTGATTTGCTTTAGTTGCTACAATTTGGAAAATTACTCTTAAATCTCTTTTGATTATTTTGTGTTGTAAGTGGAACTGGGACTGCAGTACTTTGTGCTTTCTTATGGTCAATGCAGCATTACATTCAATGGGAGTTCGTTTTCATACAGTGTATTGATTACTCAGCTAGAAGTTTCCTCTTTGCTCCCATCATTTGCTTTACCCTTTTCACTGTATTTTTTTTCCATTTTTTGAAGGAGGAAGTTCTTCAAGTTTTGTATAGCTCTGTTATTAGGAATTCTGTGAAGCTGCATATGGTTAATAATATATAATTGCCTACTGGAACGTAACTAGCAGGCATAAATTAGTTCAATTATATTAACTTTATATTTCTCCATCCACTTTGACAATATTGGGTTTTTGTTTTTTTTTTTTCTGAGATCCTTTTTAAACTGTGGAGATTTTAGTGCCAAAACTCTTACCTTACAGCTCCTTCCCTTGTGTCACTAGAACATATATTCATGTGGCTAATCTGCAGGTATCCTCTAACATTATTGTGAGAGATTATTTCCTGATGACAGGATAAGCCTTGGGTAGGAGTGTGATATTTGTTTTTTCTGCATTGCTGTGCCATACCAATATGCCCATGTTTTGCCAAGGTTGTGTGTTGTTTGTCATACTGAAATATAAGCTATCTTTCAGACAACAGGAAAACTGGATTTTATTAAGTATAAAAACACACAGATGCATTAAAAGCTCTTGATAAACCTGTGACAACAGCTCAAGTTGACAGACTTGGTGTTAGAAACCAGATAACTCCACAGACAGTGCTGCATTAATTTGTAACTGATAGTTTTCCTTTTAATGGTGAAGTAGAGAGCATTTTTCAAAGAAATATGAGCTATTTTGGTCATACTCTTGGCACACATCAAAGAGGTGTTTGTGATACTAAACAAGGATTATAAACTGAAGGTATTTCAAATACAGTTCTTTTTTTGTATGTAAAAAATTCTGAATAGGAAGCTGATACTAGAAATTAAACTTGACAAGATTATTACTAGAGAAAACTTTTTGCAGTTAGTGTCTGAAACTTTTTGATAATGCAACAGTTATGTGTTTCACCTTATTTGTCTTGAAGTTTCATTAAATTGAGCTTTTTTTTTAGGAATTGTCATTGCAAAAGTGATAGTTTTAAGCATCACTGCAGTCTGTAAGAGCATCAAAACTATTTTGAAGATAAAGGCTAATAGATTATATTTTGGTTTTCTGGGGCTTTTTACTTGTGCTTGTTCTTTATGAATTACTGTTGAACTAGGTGTTTCCAAGAAGTTTCTTATCTTTTATCTCCTTTAATTCCCATTGCCCATGTCTTTTGGATGTGGTCTTCATCCTGTTGTCTTTCTTCTCTCAATACTTTACTGTTAACTACCTGAATAGAATCTGAGAATTCTAAGTCCGTACTCTCCAGAAATGACTGTTATGTAGAGTCCTTCCTTCATCAGGGTTTCAAGAAGGGAGGAATTAAACTACCTAAAATAGAAAAAAAATTAGGAGCTAAATGCACGGTTGTTTGTTATATTTATCTAGTAGCTGAAAACCTCAAGAATGCATTTTCTTCAACCAAAAATACTACACTTAACCTTGAAGTACAACTGAAATTTAGCATCCATTCTTAAGCTACACCTGTTCAACCTTGTTCAAACATTATTCTGGCCAAAATATTTAGAAAAGTTTTTAGTACTTATTTTTTTTCCTGGAAATTGCAGTGGTCAGAAAGGAACTGTAGTGCAAAGCATGTATTTCCAAAGGTTTAGAAACTGTGTGTTGCATAGTGATAAGATCTCCAGGCTCTTACAGCAAGTACCCTTCAGATTTCAGCTGTGTTTGAGTGGTATATTAAAAGCTTTCTCACCAAACCAAGGATGATTTATTTTTAAAAAAACATAGATTGAAATTGTTTGGTTGTATGAGATAATGGCAAGTTCAGGGAGAAGTACAGGAAGCCTATTTGTTTTGTTTAGGTTAAGTCACTTCAGGTGGGAAGTTTCTGTTCTAGACCAAGGTAAACACTAACATTATTTTAATTGTTTTGTAAATGGTTTAATGTTTGTTCTCTTATTCATTTTGCAGCCTCTAATGGAAAGCAAACTTAAGGCATTCAGTATTGGCAAAATGAGTGCTGCCAAGAGGACTCTGAGCAAGAAGGAGCAAGAAGAATTAAAGAAGAAGGTAAGAGTATACAATGAAAATTATATTATGTGTGCAGAGCTGAAATAAGTCTGCTTTTAGATTACAACCAGCTTTACCACCAAATCTTTTTATTTTGATAATTGTAGTTTTCTAAGAATGAAAGTGAATTGCATTTTACATGTTTAATTTGTTCTTGGCATTTATGGCAAGAACATGGCATTCTTGGCTTCCTGAAATACTGAATTACAATAGTCCATTGATTGTTGTGTTGCTCAAGATGAAGACAGCAGTTACCTTAGGTTATTTAATGTTCTTCATTTGCTCTCTATCATTGGATTTCAGTAATTAAAAAGAGTAACTGTTGTCTCTGAAATTGTTTCAGTACGCATCCTTGTTACTCTGTAAAACATATTTTTGTCTAATGACTTCTTTTGCAGTTAATAAAAAAAAAAAAAATTTGAAACTAAATTTTAGGATACTCAGGAGCATCCATATTTTAGAAAGTATGTAGCTTATAGTTGGTAAGGTGGAAGTTTTGAAAATTTGGGGCTTTGAACTTTATGCCTATTATTTCAGTGGGATATCTCCTGCTAGGTTGTTGGAAATAGCCTAAAGAAACATTGTAGTGCTAAATTTAGTGTCTCACTCTGCTTTATCAAGTCAGTGATTTAACTTCTTTGGGAAATACATAAAGGTCATCCTGTTAATTGCCTTCGATCACATGGGCTGATCGTAACGGATAAGATGGAATACGTACTGTCATAATGCTGATCTTTCATATGATCTTTTCTATTTGGCATCTTTTGAATGTTAAATTGCCATGTAAACTCTTGTAAATGAACAGTCATATTTGAGCATACAGGGCTTATTTGCTTTACGTATTATGTGCTGTGTTCTTCCCACATTTCTCAGAAATTTGAATTTTGTCTAAAATTGAAACTCATTTGATGCAGTTTGTAGCATGAACTCTAGAAAATAAAAAGGAATGCCACATCGCTAATTTAAGAATAGCTGTCTATTGAAGGTTGTTCTGTGATGATAGTAAATAGATTAACATTTGCTATGTAGGAGGATGAGAAGGCTGCTGCAGAAATTTATGAAGAATTCCTTGCTGCCTTTGAAGGAAGTGATGGTAATAAAGTGAAAACATTTGTAAGAGGAGGAATCGTTAATGCATCTAAAGGTATAACTAATCTTTTTTTGGGGATGATAGATCATTTGGTTTTGAGTAAAGATGAAGATTGGTTTTGAATTGTATTTTAAAATTTAGTATGTTACATTAGAAGCAGCAAAGGAAACTTGATGCTAAAATCTACTTTATGCTTTGACTCACTAAATAGATAGTGGCATGTCTTAAACATCACAGAGGAAAAAAGTGCTTTGATTTAATGTACCTAATCTTGTTCTTTTTCTTCCTATTAAAAGATGTTAAATAACGGAAAGCTTTTCAACACTTTTAAAAAATGAAATAGTATATTGAATTGAATGAACAAGACTAAAGAACAGCAGCATTCTTTCTAATGAACAGTATTAAGCACCATTAGTTAATACAATTTGTTTTAAATTTGCCTTTAATTTCAGAGGAGCATGAAACAGATGAAAAACGGGGTAAAATCTATAAGCCTTCATCACGATTTTCAGATCAAAAAAATCAGCCAAGCCAGCCATCTAATGAGAAACCTCCATCCCTCTTAATGATAGAAACCAAAAAGCCTGTAAGTTTCTTTTTTGAATATTAACCCCATACTTAGAATTTAGGAGTGCTTAGAAGAAAGTCTGTGTGATCTTGCAGAATAGTTTTGTCTGCCTTTGTCACATACTAAAAGAAGGTGAAGATTTTGATTTGCTTAATCCTTTAACAAGTATCAAGATAATGAAATTCAGAAGTCCAGTACCCCTATATCCACCATGATATACCTCGTACTGCACTTTGATTTGGCTGCTGTGTGTTTTTACTGTATTCCTGATAATTGAGATAGACTTCTCATGAATACAGAACCATGACTGTTGCAAAGTAACAGTATCTCCAATCCTGAGAATTTGTGAAGTTTTAGAAGCAATTCTTCTTGCTGCCATCTGTTTTTAGGTTTTTATAACTTTAAAAAAAAAAAGAATTGACCTTTGCATTAATCCAAGTTTTTCTTGGTGAGGTTTTTTTATTTTTTTTTCCTTTGTGGTGATGTTTGAGAAGTCTCTTTAGCTCTTTGAGTTGTACCAAGTAAGTTGTAGAACTTGCACATTTTTGAAGCTGAACACATTGTTTTTATTTATTTTGACTTCTGCATGGCTTGATACTTTTTTTTGTTAAACTGAGATTCATCATAAAAAGTAATGGAAATATTATGAACAAACAGTCTTCAAGTGAAGTGGTAGTTATGTTTGATTACTGTTACTACTGTATATGTGTAATGTGTAATTAATGTCTTGGATGTCTTTAAAAAGTCTTAACAGAGCTTTCTACAATTTTTAAGCTTAAGTGAAACGTATGATACTGCCTGTTAGGATGAGAAATGAGATGTAATGTGATGTGATAATTGTGGGTAATCCCATCCTAGCCTTCCTCCCACTTTAAACAGAACTCAAATTTAGACTAGTGGGGTAATACTGGATGGCAGTTTGATTTTTTTCATTGTATGTAAAGCTCTACAGTTACAGAAATTAATTGTAGCATTTTTTTTTTATTATGCTGAGCTCTGTTCTGTCATATGCAAGTGTCTGTACTGTAAGAATATTACTGCTTTTCAAATTTGTCATAAATACTTATCAAGTAATGCAATCAGTTTACTCACTTGCCCTGTCCAATGGTGATTGAAGATAATGAGGTAAAAATGATTTTATTTATTTGGCAGACCCTCCCCAAAAACAAAAACAAACAAACAACTTTGCCTGGGGTGAGTAGGAAGTCCAGTTTTTCCAAAGCTGTAGTGTGTAACAGAATAAATATTTTGTATGTCTGCCTATTGGAAACGTTTTCATTTAAATTTGGTTATATGAAAGCAATGTTGTTTGAGATAATAGTTCACATGAGTTAGTTAAGGTAAAAATATTACTTTAAAAAAGAAGTATTACAATATCCGTGTTCTTGTCATTCAAGAGTTTTTTTCTGAGGGTCTTGAACTATTTACAGTAACTGTTTCTTCAGACCTGTATTTATATCTGAAAGGAAGCAAGAGAAGGAAATTATTTTCACATAGAATGTTTGTGTGTGGATAAAATAATTGAATATATATGTAAAATAATTTACATATATATGTACACACATATATCAATGTAATTAGAGCATGACGGTTTGCTAGGGGTGTAGTCAGCTTCTGAGTTTCTAAGTGGAACAAACTGACGAAATACATTGTAGATATTTTAAATTTGTATGTTGTAGAGAGAGTGTTTGATCACAGATGCTTCATTGTAATAAGTAACAAAGTTTAGTTTAAGCTATTTATATTTTCTAGCTTTGTGTTTGATAGCACTCAGTCTTAATGTTTTTAAGTCTTTGTTTTGTTTTTCTTTCTCATGTAGTTTACTTGGTTTGAGAGCTGTGGGTGAAATATGCATGGAAATTATCTAAAATTTTGTTGTATACATATAATTTTTGGTGTTGTTTCATGGTATCTGCTGATATGTTGGCTGATATATCTTTAATTTTAGCCTTTGAAGAAAGGAGAGAAAGAAAAGAAAAAGAGTAATTTGGAACTTTTTAAAGAAGAATTAAAGCAGTAAGTTTGACTAGTTCTTACTGTAAATAAAAAAGATGGCAGGTTTTAATTTATTTTTACAGGCAATATTTAGAATTATTCTTGCTAAGCTGTTTTCCACAGTAGGTTTTTGTTTTGTTTTTTTCTCCAAATGCTTGTGGGGTGGTATAATTTAGTTAACAAGGGCAGTGAGTAGGGACCCATTGTAGTTGATGCTCCAGATGTCTGAGATTTGTCTGGATAATCAGTTGCCATCTAATTACTCCTCTAGTGTTCCTTGGTACTTCTGCTCTTTCTTATGCTGATTGATGGTAGGAAGTGTTTACCCTATTGCTGAAAAGTACTTCTGTTTTGAAATCTAGCATTGACCAGAGGCTATAAAATGATCAAAAAAACAAACCAGAAAAGCTGGGTATGCTCGTTTAAATCTTTGTTGAAATTAATGAATATCTTTGCATGCCACAGTTGTTCGATTGTGATCTTTGAAATAATTTGGTACTGCCTTCCTAAGCAGAGGAATACCCAGAGCAATTAACCAAAAAAATTGCATAAAGTATTTCAGAGATCCCAGTAAGTGAATGACTGGCTATGTTTCCAAAACTACTGAAAATGATTTTTGGATCAGTTAGGTGTGACTAGAAGCTTTGATAATTGAATCAACCAGCCATCTACCAGGATAAAAAATGGAAACCTAGCTTTGTTTCTTTGACAGCTGCTGTCAGTATGTTACTTGCAAGTGGAACTTGGGATGCCATTCTGTCATAAATTAGCAAGTGGGTGCCGGTAAATGAGAACACTTGTTAACATGGTCTCATGCATTGTTAAAGTTAGTGAAGATACAGCAAGACAAGTAGGTACTGTAATGGAAGAGGATATTTAGGTGCTGGCTGTTGACTTTTCTCTTGATGAGGATGTAGCAAAGATATTGTTAGCAAATTGAAGACTCCGGAAGAATAAGTTTTGTCAGCATCTCTAAAACTATATCCAAAGGAGTTTGAGCTTTTTGTGTTAATGCAGAATTAAGACTTGTAGTTCAAGTTTTGAGATGTACTTCAGCTTTCATAATTGTAAAAACAAGCTGAATAATGCTTCAAAAAGCAGATTCTTTTGCTTCTGAATGTATAATACAACTGAAAGAGCAGCATGTATTGAGTGCTGTGTATTTGCCCTAATGTTAGAGGTGGAAAACAAGTCTGTATGCATTAGAAGACAATAGGTACTGAATTATAAATCTGTAAATGGCTCTTGTGAGTAGTGTCTGAACTTCACTGCTGTCTGATCATTATTTGATGTGAATTGAATTGACAGCCATGTATTCCTGGTACACAATATCTTCATACCAGGTTTTAGGGCCAAACTACAAAGAACCAAGTAGTTACTTGTGTGAATACTATCCTTAGAGGTGTAAACTGAAATGAATTCTGTGTGTTTTGGAAATAGTCATATGGGGGTGTATGTCACCCTACAAGGTGACAGCCTGCATGAATAAGGCTTAGAAAAGTGAAATGCTGGGGTTTCAACCCTGAGCCCCAAATTAAGGTTGATATATGGGTGATTCCCACAGCCCTTCCCAAAGGGGGGGTGAGTTTGCCTTTAGGCTTCCCCCCAGGGTGGGGCCGGCCTGGCAGACAGAGCCATTGGGTAAAGGAGCCCCAGGTGTCTGCATTCAGTAACCAAAGGTCAGGTGTCCCACTGAGGGATAAAAGCTGGGACCACTTGCAGTCAGGGGCAGTGTCTGTCTGTGAGGTGCAGGCACTTTGCAGAGTTCCCCGTTGGGGAAGGACCTCCTGCCTCCCTGGGACTGGGCTCCAGTCAGGTCTGGCTTTTGTAAATGTGGACTGTGTAGAGGTTTGGTGTGTGACTTCCTTGGTCTTATGTATTTGGCTTGTTAACTCGGTTGTCTCCTGTCCCTTCTATGGGAGACTGCGTTTCACCATTTATTCCCCCCATTGTTGGTCGTGTGGTGTCGTTGTTGGGGTCAGTGGGTTTGATGTCAATTATGTATAGTCTGACTTGTTTGTACCCCCAGCACTCACCCATGTACTGTCCCTTTTGTATCAAATCCAGTTTGGTTATTGGTTCATCTTTATGCTGGCTGTGTCCTTTATGCTAGGCCTAACAACTGGCAAAACAAAATGGTAGGAAGAGAAATAGACACTAAGGGGTTGTGTGCATTTTGAAAAGTCATCTGAATGGTCAATGGGTCTGTGGCAGCTGAATGTGGAATTCAGGTCACTTTTTGAGAGCACAGTTCTTATTTCTGATCTTGTGAACTGCTTCTCAAACCAAATCAATTTTCTTTGAGATTAAAACCCTAACAGTATGAATGAGGAAGCATGCAGCTGACATAATTCTGATAGATATATTCCAGTTGACTAAACAGAACTTCAAGCATACTGGCAATTGGAAATTTTTAACAAGCCCATTGTCTAATATTAAAAACTCTCATAATTCTAAAGTTAATTGAAAATTTTGGAATAAAACCTCAAAATGGTATTGTTACTTAGATTAAACTTGTTTTGTAGAATACAAGAGGAGCGTGATGAAAGACATAAAACAAAAGGTAGATTGAGTCGTTTTGAACCACCCCAGTCAGATTCAGATGGCCAGCGTCGTTCAAGTAAGTAGATGTTATATTTTGTTTGTTTTGCCTACAAAATTTGTGGACTAAATTATTTATGTTTTTCTTCTATTTATTCAGTGGATGCTCCTTCAAGAAGAAACAGATCATCTGGTGGTAATATAAATTCTTTTTTGCATTCAGTGTAATGTTGTCACTTAAATGGATGGCAAGGTTTATGACTTCTTTTTTCCCCTGTTTTTTCCTCTATCGTTGTAGTACTGGATGATTACGCACCAGGGTCACATGATGTTGGAGATCCAAGTACAACAAATTTGTATCTTGGAAACATTAATCCTCAAGTAAGTTTGGAGCCAGGGAGTGAAGTGCAGTGTTGGCATGTTTGAGTCTTAGCTGAATTTTTTTCCAGGGGCAGTTTTCCCCCCTTTTTTACTTTAAATCATAAGCATATGTTTAAACCCATATACTGGGTACAGTTGGTGACTGTGGAGACAGTATTGATTTAAATAAATGCTCTGTACACAATGCTGCAAAAATTAAGGTTTAGACTATCAGTTACTAGATGCAAAGATGCTCAGCTACGATTTTTTTTCCATAGATATCTCTCTGCAGGTAGATTATATCTCAAAGATTTGAGTGTGCTCAATTTAAAATGCAATTTTAAAAAAATTCTTATTTTTACAATGGATCACATTGGGGAAGTATCACTGAAGTCTTGTTTTTCAAGAAACTCAGAAAATTGTCAACATCTGGACAATTGTATGAATGAGTATCTTAGAAATACAGTAGCAAAATACTAATTTTGACCTGTTTTCATGTAGATGAATGAAGAGATGTTATGTCAAGAATTTGGACGCTTTGGACCATTAGCAAGTGTTAAAATTATGTGGCCAAGAACTGATGAAGAAAGAGCAAGAGAAAGAAACTGTGGCTTTGTTGCCTTTATGAACAGGAGAGATGCTGAAAGAGCATTAAAGAATTTAAATGGTAAACAGATTTCTCTGTTTGGAATTGTAATTATCTTTGTAGGAATATTGAGGAGTAACTGTAAGCATATCTTCAGGTTGTTTTATCAGACTGGTGGTAGGTAGGTTGTAACTCCAGTAGATACCACATTGGTAGTGATTTTTAGTTTACACTATTTTACTGGCAGCTGAAGCTGTCATCAAACTATAGCATACACAAGGGCTGGGAATACTGGTGGCTTTTGATGTGGGTAAAGATGTAAAATTTCTGACTGTTTTGAAGATGTGAGTGGGAGGTAATGTTTGATAATCTCTCCTATGTAAAGAGACTGTTTAAAGAAGGAATCTATTACTTGTATTTGTTTACCAACAATTTTTTTTTTGTGAATAAATTTAACTAGTGCACAGGATATAATCAATAGTTGGTGATAAATATGTTATGTTCTTTTGAATAATGGCTAAATTCCTGATATTGAAGAGGTAATTGTTGTACACTAGACATGTAATTCTGCATATGGACTATCTTGTCTACCTTTAATTTAGGAAAAAAATATGTGATGAAGAAAGCTATGTCCTTACAGTTCATGAAGAGCCTGAAAATAAAAAATCAGCATCATAGAAAAAAAGAATTAAGTAATGAAAAGTTGCTCTTGCATATAGCTTACTCAAAATGAGCTTGGTACCATTAGTAAGTAGGCTTACACTATGTAATTTCTGTGAGTTCTAATTGGTTATTACATTTTGTTTTGAATAACATAATTTGAAATTTATTATTATGAACATTTTTGAAGAACTGGAGTGCAGAAATAGTATAGTGTAAGAATTACTCTGTTCATCCTGATGTGCTGAATATCAACTCCTTAATATTTTTTTCCCGCAACAAGTCAAGTAATTGTGTAGTGAAGTCTCCTGAAAATGTACATGGGGGAAGATTAGTAAAATGTTTGGTGTAATAGGCTTTCATTTGCATGATAGCTGTGGTACACTAATCAATAATGTAATTAAGAAGTAAACCACGGCAGGCAAACCTAAAAACTGCACTTTACACAGAGATATCTCGAGTGACACAGAACCAGTTTATAACTATGGTGGTTTGGTTTTGTTTTGTTTACTTTCATTTTTTCAGGCAAGATGATTATGTCGTTTGAAATGAAGCTAGGTTGGGGCAAAGCTGTACCTATACCACCACATCCAATATACATTCCACCTTCTATGATGGAGCATACCCTCCCGCCGCCTCCGTCAGGACTGCCTTTTAATGCTCAGCCTAGGGAGAGATTGAAGAATCCTAATGCTCCAATGTTACCACCACCAAAAAACAAAGAAGATTTTGAGAAGGTAACTTACAGTACCCTGGGCCATATCTCATTGTTAAATACTACATCTGTGACAGTATTTCAATGGCTTCATAGATTTGCATTGTTCAGGCTGACTTTGGTGGCCCTTAGTGTACAAACTCAGTGGCTCCCTGCTGTAGAGCAAGGGAACCTCCTTAATTCCTGAAGCTTTGTTTCATGTCTGTGTTAGGGTACAGTATATTGGGTCTTGATTTATTTTAGTGCTTCTTTAAATCTGGCTATAATTTTCCCCCTCCAGGCTCCCTGGATTTTTTTCTCCTACGTCCCCCCCCTTTTGTTGGCTGCCAAATTGCAGTATCTAAATTGTTTTCTTTAGAGAAAATACTACATTTTAATTTGGGTAGCATTATTTTTACACTAGAGGAGTTGATGTATTTTGTGTAGAAGGTAATTAATCTGGACATTGAGTAAGTATTTTATGCTACTTATGGAGTCAGTTTTCAGACTTTTTTCTGGAATATTAGCCGATTAAAGGGTAAGTATCTTGTAAACCAAGCTGGTTTGTGATTACATTTGTAAGAATTTGTTGATTCTTTGAATGACACTTAAATATTAGGGCTGTTTTTTGTAAGACTTGGGAATAAAGTAATACCAATGTGATCCAAGTCACATAGTTTAGAATCTTTTCATGAACTTAAGAACTCCTTTCTTAATTATGTTCAGTGTAGTACCTATTCAGTGCATCAATGTACATTCTGACAGGAATGTTCTGATACTTTGCAATTAGTGAACCTTTATGGTTCACTGACACGACCATTTGCATTTTGTGTAATTGCTTAGTTATAACTTCACAGCAGTGATTGCCTGCAAAACTTGTGATAGATGTGTAGTATTTTCATTGCATATGTATATTTTTGCTTGTTACTTGTTAACAATACTCACATATTCTATGTTTATTATCTGATGTGACTTCATATACAGACTCTGTCGCAAGCCATAGTCAAAGTGGTTATCCCAACAGAAAGGTACATGTTTTTCTTTATTATTACTGATCTAAATATAGAAAATTTCCCCTTCGGAATTTTAAAGAAAAATGGTGATGTTGAGGAAAAGGTAATGGCTTGACTGAGCAATGGTTCTTTCATGATACTTGAGAGAAATGTGTGTCTTTTACATTCGTATTATCCTAGCTTAACTTTTTTAGTGAGGGTAGATTTAAGTAATTCTCTTTTGCATTTATTTTGAGCACTAGAAATAGTTGCAGCGTAATTTTTTGAGTGAACACTAGGTCGAAATAGCTTGTTTTAGAGATGTTGTTTAAGTCCTGACATAAACCTCCGAGTACTTCATAGTTAGGATGCGGCTGTCTCCAGTGTAGTGCTGTGGGGACTGTGGGGATTACTTCTTTCTTTTTTTTTTTTTTTTTTTTTTTTTTTAATTCACTGTTGATTTCTGCTAATTTTTTTTAATGTGCAACAAGTAAAAGTAAGAATTTTGGTCACTGAAAAAGATAGTTCTATATTGCAAGGGTATTGTAACATTTTGGTCCCCTTCAGCACTCCTACCTTCACACTAGTCTAGGTATACTCTTGCTCAGTTAAGCTGAAACCTTTTCCCAAACATAGGAACACAACACTGTTGTAAAAGTAAATAAGCACAAAAGATTACCAAATTCTCTTTGACATTGGCCTTGGTGAGCAACACCAGCTGAACTGTCTGCGGCAGCGGGGGACCAGGAAAACATCATGGGATGGATTGGGAAAGTATACAGTTTTTGACCAGACATTGGTACGATCGGCTCCAATAAATGTGGTTTTATTATAACTGAAAAACTTTTTTTGTTGGCCAACTTAAGCTAAATGACATTTTAAAATAATGCACTTAAAACTATCATCTTTTTTTACTACACTGTTTTAATTGTCACAAAGCCCCTTTTTTCTTTTTTTTCGCGTGTGTGGGGGGGAAGAAAGATTTGTGAAGCTAGTTATAGTACTATATTAACATATTTGTCAATAGATGCTCAAATGCACTAGTATTTTGGATTAAATTTTAGGGCTGTACAATTTTGTTGGGTAGAGGCATGAATAATTACGGTGACCAGGAGGAGTCTTGATTTGAGAAACATAGTGAGTAGTAGAACAAGTACTTGTAAAACTGTACAGTGCTTACAAAGTAATTAGCTTTCAAAGAAAAATGTTTCCATTTTATTTACTGTAGCATTTTGAAAGCTTGCATGATAAGAAAAGCTCATGTTAATTGAACTGTATTTGAAAATACTTCTAAATTAGTTTTTTTTTCCCCTGATGACTTTCAAAGATGCTAATGGCAACTGCAGAGACCATGACATAGTATATCACATCATGCAGAAATTTCATCTGACTTCAGTGGAATAATATGTATAATTGGTATACTTTGAAAATTTTCAGTACTGATTTTTAACATCTCTTCTTAGTAAATACTAAACAGAAAAGCTTGAGTATACATAATCAAGTTTTTCCTGAGAAATTCACTATGAAGTAGTTGTGTCTTATACACTGAAATTCACGTAAAGCCATTTCAGATATGGGATGTACCGAATCTTTTCATACATCTGAGGTCTTTCCATAACAGATGTTCTTGTTCAAGCCTAAGCTGCTCTTATGCAACTTTATTGAGCTCGATGAAAGAAAAATTAGATGAAAGGCAACGGCATGGTTCTGCAGGAAGCCAGAAGTGGTCACATTGAACTTGCCTTAAAATAAATGAAGGGTGTAATAGCTCAGAGGCTTGACAGCTAATTGTGAATTATTTTCTTACTGATGTTTTCAAATACAGTTCATATAAAAAGAACAGTTTTGCTATTTAGACTTTCAGAACACTGCTTTAAATAAAATGGCTATAGAATTACTGAGACTGTGTATTCTTTACAGTGTTTCTGGGATTATAAAAAGCAAACAGGAAAACTGAGCTGTAGATAGCTGTTTGGCTTTTTGTGTAATATTTGAGGCAAATGTAGATTTAATGCTAGGTGATATAAAACAGAACAGTTATTACTATGTTTATAAGTTGGAATTTTTTTTTAATCTAGTGTATTGTATCTGTGGCAGAACTTTGAATACTCATGGTAGAAAACAGTCATCTCATTAATAAGAAGTAATAGAAAAATCTACAGCTTTTCCGTGTAACAATTTTTGAATTTTAATAATTAAAAATCACTAAAAGGAAATCTAATGAGATACATGTAAAGAACCAATATCCATTTGTTACATCTAAGAAAATAAATTTAACAATGTAAAAATCTGTTTTTTTTGTTTGCATCACATTCAAATGACATGTGCTGTGAAGCTTTTGACATATGTAGGTAATCTGTATTTGAAAATTCAGGATCCTGTTTCCAAAAAAACCCCAAAAGGTTGGAAACTGATGATCACTATTATTTATAAAGCTTATATGACTGTCTCCTGTTAACATGCTTATAAGTGGATCTGCATTTGCAGATGTGGCTTGAAAAATGTGCACTTCACACTTCCCTGTCTCAGGATGTAGTGTTGAATGAAATGAGTACAGATTTAAATTTTATTTTTTTTTTAATTGTGATTTGGTTCAGTTGAGCATATGAGGGAGGAAACACTGGATGGTATGACACAAAATGATAGACAGTTTTTTGTTCTATGCCAATAGCTGTGTCTTGACCAAAGAGAGATTATCTAAATTTAATAAAATCATTGCCCTGTTTGGCATCAAGAACGCTATTTGCTTTTCGTTTCATGCTTGAATAGTTTGAAAGCTGAATGCAGTTTCTGTTGAATATTCAAAAGTATGTGTGTTCAGTTTTGAGCATAATATTCAGCCAGTTGTTCCTCTGTAGTTAACACTTTGGTCTTAGTTCTAGACACTAGATGAGGGCTTAGTTTTTGATAATTAATTGTACTTTGGTATTCAGTTGCCCATTTTTATGCATAAGTACTATTAAGCTTCTACTAAGTAAGAGATGGTTGTAGGCTAAGCTGTGGAAATTCAGGAAGGAGGTGTCCTCTTAAATTCTTATGCCACCACTCCTAGGCATGTTTTTGTTTTAGAATGCCCGTGTCTCTGATGCAAGGCTATAATATGTTCCATGTTACCTTACCTTTTATACAGTTTTCTTAACAATACAGCAAAATAATCTCCTGCACAGTTGTAGTATCTTAGGTGGAGTGTAGTTTTATATAGTGTTAGGTCTGAGTCAATTTTTCTTTAACTGTGTTGTTGTTGTAGGAATTTGCTCGCTTTGATACATCGAATGATAGAGTTTGTGGTACGGGAAGGGCCCATGTTTGAAGCCATGATCATGAACCGAGAAATCAACAATCCAATGTTCAGGTGCTTATTACATTTGAAATAGCACTATTTTCACTGTTGCTAATATTTTGCATTTCTGAAATACTAGTAAGAGTTGTTTTTACTATTTCTATCTTTATGGGCAGATTTAAATTTTACAAATTGTACAAATACTTATTCTATCTTTTTACTAAGAAGAACGCAGTTTTACTCCAGTTGTTACTAATGTGTACATATAAAGAAATAAAAATGCTATATACACACTATAGAATATGCTTTTATTATATGCAGATTTTAATATATACAATTACATTTAACACCTTTGTGAATAATTTTCAATCATCAGTGGAAACAGTAGCATACATTTAAAAAATAAAAAAAATAAAAAAGAGAAAAATCTCCCCCAAACCAGACAGACTCAATGTAAACTCCACCTTCCTGGAGCCTAATTTCTAAACTTTAGCAAGAGCTGGGAGTAATTTTTCTTTGATGTCAGTGCAAATAGGATTAAACTTCAGCTGTTATAGTGAAATTTCCAGCCTTTGTTGTTAATGGAATAAAAAAGGATCAATTTCCAAATTTCTTGTGAAATGCAGCCTCTGAAAAACTTTTTCAGGGAAACACTAAATGACTTTTGAAAAATACTATATTTGCTGTAGGGCTCAAGTGCTTTGTTAAAATTTTCATATATGCATTGAGAAAACACGCAGGTCAAAATACCCAGTACCCTGGCCGTTAGAAATGGGCTGCTCCCCCTCCTCCCCCAATCTTGTCAGAGTGTTCCGTCAGACAGTTTACTGATGGAAAACTCCAAGTCATTTAGTATTTGATCTGAGCAACTTAACTGTATGAGTTCCTGCACCACGTATGCTGAGGTTGCAGTTACTCTCATAGTGACTTGTTGCACTGATATATCTTCTACTTTACTGTGGGACTGCACAGTTGTTCTTTCTGACCCTGTTTGTTCTGCTCCTAACTTTAAGAAAGACAGTACCTTTGTGGAATTCTGCACTGCTTTGCAAATTGTATATATATGTGCGTGGAGTGGTTGCACTTGCTCTGCACAGCTGTGCTGTAGGTGTTCATGATTTTAGATATCTTGAGTTCACTTGGTAACTGAGGTGGGATTCTAAACAGGGGTTGGTTATATTTTTTTCTTTTTTATTGCTTCTCTTTAATTTGCTTCAGCTAAATAATATGTTTTGTGTCTTTGCTTTTTGGTTCAGGTTTTTATTTGAAAACCAGACTCCAGCCCATGTATATTATAGATGGAAGCTTTATTCAATTCTTCAGGCAAGTAGAATTTTAGTGACAATTCATAAATTCAGGCATGATGAAATGAAAGAACACCAAAATAAAAATACTTCTTGCATTTGGTAGGGAGATGCTCCAACCAAGTGGAGGACAGAAGATTTCCGCATGTTCAAAAATGGATCATTTTGGAGGCCACCACCCTTGAATCCATACTTGCATGGGATGTCGGAAGAGCAAGAAACAGAAGCGTTTGTGGAGGAACCAAACAAGAAGGGTGCACTTAAGGAAGAGTACGAACTTCCATCACTTTATCGTGCTGTTTTAACTGCTAATCTGCATGTTTTCTTCCTGTTGTGTTTTTGTAGTTATAATAGGTCATCCCTAAAATGTTATCATGCTTGTTGTAACATTTAGAAACTCAACCTCAGTGCTTTTCAGTTACTCTTTTTTAATGATACTTGTGGCTAAATATGTTCTGGATTTAGGTAGATTTGCCATCATTGAGCAATGAGTCTTTTCAATCCCATTGTTATTAGTTCTTTTTTGGAAGGGGATTGGGAAGATGATAATTTTTCCTTATTTTCTGTTAATAGCTGTTGGTGGGGCTATATTTCACCTTTCTCATCACTGCTGTGATCTCATGAACTAAACAGTTATCTTAGAGTTATTGATGCTGTGCATCAGAACTTAAAATTGGGAGCAGTTGTTAATAAGCAGGAAGACAGATCATCAGAGTTCTTTGTGAATTGTAAGTGTGGTGGGGATGCCTATGGTAGTGAAAATCTATACATAATTTTCTTAATTTTGCTATTATTCTTGCAACTGTGTTCTTAGAATGTAAAATTTTTTCCTGTTTTATTATTTTCATCATAGTTGTACCAGTCATGGTTCTGGAGGTTTTAATATATAATTTTTTTTTAATCTTGTTTTTGAAAGACTCAATAAGATATCTTTTGAGAGTGTTCTCTATATATGGAGATCAGGGAAGACCTGAAATAATTGCTTCTTACAACCTTTCTGATTCCTAATGTTTTTTATTCTGCAGCAGAAACTACTTGCATGCTTTATATTTATCCATTTTGATTTAGGTTTAAAGTAAATCCAGAAAGCTAATTACTTCGTTAGAGATACTGATCTGCTGCATTAGGTATTTCTCAGTTATTTTTCCTTGATTTCCATATGTAGTCAAGACTTGAGTGGGAATTTTTTGCACTTTGTTTATTTATGTAATGTGGATGCATATGCTCATGAGTCACTGAAAAAAAGTCAGGCAACAGATTATAGAAATATTTAAAATTGCTTTTGTCTTAAAGATGGAAAAATCAAAAACATCATTAAATGGAAATTCCCCAAAGTACTGTTAATTTTATATTGAAAGTATTAAAATTCCTGATATTTCAGACAGAGGGACAAATTAGAGGAAATTCTGCGTGGATTAACACCTCGGAAGAATGATATTGGTGATGCAATGGTTTTCTGTCTTAATAATGCGGAAGCTGCTGAGGAAATTGTAGACTGCATTACAGAATCGTTGTCCATTCTGAAGACTCCTCTTCCTAAGAAGGTGTGGAGGTTTTATATAAATCTTACCTTTTGGGGGAATAGCTCACTTAACAGCACATGCATATAATTTACACGCATTATTTTATAAGTTTAAGATATCATTGAGGTTTTGTATTAAAACATGGGCTTGAATTTTAAGTATGCTTTTTTCCTGTGCCTTTTTGTAATAGTTTTGTTCTTTCTGAACCTGCTTGTAAATAGCATTCTGCCTTACTGTGAAGATGAAAATATCAGAATAGTCTATTTAAACAAGGCAATAAAAACTGGAATGCCATGATCTGTCCTTTGTAATACTACGTAATACCATGCTAAAGTGGCTAGTACCCTGTAGCATAACAGGGGACTTATTGCCTCTTAGCAAGTTTATTAACAATATGGCTGTGTTACATTTATTTCTAATTTGATACTTCTAAATAGTTTAAGCTGTTTTGTATTCTTTCTGGAAAAATGCATATATTTGGGATAATTTAAACTGGAGTTATCTTAATTTGAACATTCTTTATTGTAGATTGCAAGATTATATCTAGTGTCCGATGTGTTGTACAACTCTTCAGCTAAAGTTGCCAATGCTTCCTACTATAGAAAATTGTAAGTATAATATTTTAGGTGAATGATTAAAAAAAAATAAAAATCAGTTTTGCACATCTCTGGATAAATGTGGTTGTAGAGAAATTCGCACACTTTCTATGAGGATACTGTTACAGCACTGACATTTAATCTCTTTGGATGACAATGTATCAGATGTAGCAAGTTAGTGCACATGGTTGCTTTATAATGCAGGAAGTGTATATGCCCTATGTAAGGGACCACTTGCATGGAACCTCGTAGGGGCAGGAGTAATTCATGTGCCTCTACAGAAAGAGAGCCTGTAGATAGTATTCGAGATATGGTATAGCAAATAGTCCATGTGAAGAAGTCAGTTTTTGAAATAGAATTTTTTTTCATTGTTTTTTAATTCTTTGTGAAGTTTGGAGAATTTAAAAAGGGACCATTTACTTTGTTGCTAAGATGCTGAGCAGAATTTAGGAAAAATATCTAAACAGGACAAAGGTACTCTGCCTTAAACATTTGATTGTGTCTACTTCCTGGAGTCTCTAATGCTGTGGTAGCATGATGGGGAATATTCAGCATGTTACAAAACTCTAGTGACTGCAGATGATGTTTCTTGTTGCAGTGTGTCTTTGCTCTGCCAGTTTATTTTTTGCACATTGAGAGAAGCTCAATGGAAGCTAGGCAGCTGTTACTCACTGTGCTTTCATTGAGAGCCTCACTGAGTAAATTAGAATAGAAATGTAACTAAGAAATTTTTTTTAAATACAAATTGAATTTTGAGACGATTCTTTTGGTGTATGTAAGTTTGTAAAACTTCTTTTATCCTCCTCCAATCTTTCCAGGCTTTATAAAGAGACTGCAGCAGATGTGAAGATCTCCCTTCACAGTTCTGTTGTTGTCTGAGGTGATTTAATACACAGTAATCATACTTGTTTTATAGTTCAGGTCATGGCTACTATAGGGATCAGAACCTTGTGCTTTTGAGTCCTGTGTCCCAGGTATTTTCGTGAATTATGTATGTCCAGAAAACATATTTACAAAGTTTAACTAAGAAATGTATATGTTTAATTCTAGTTTTGAAACAAAATTATGTCAGATATTCTCTGATCTCAATGCTACTTACCGTACAATACAAGGCCATTTACAGTCTGAAAATTTCAAGGTATGTATTTCATTGTTGTTTACATGACATAGAAGTCAAATAGATGTTCCTGCACAAGAGATTGCATACTATGATAGGTGGCTTTAGACCTCAAGCTTCTTAAATAAGCTTTTTTTTTTTTTAAAAAAAAAAAACCACTTAAGTTTTCTCTATTGCAAAGATAGACTTGAAATTAAGGAAAAAAATTAGCATGTAACAGCTGAAGTGTACCAGTAGATGTATAATTGAGTTGAGAGGATATCTATCTAGTACTTGAATTGCAAACAAGGCCTTCTAGCTTTCTGATTGTTTTTGGACCACCTATATTTCAGTTTCAAAAATGAATTTGGGCTGCTCAGTGTGGAAAGAAACTGCTGGACATAACAGCATAAAGTTACTTTTTTAATGGTTTTGTGATAGGGTTTATTTTTTGAGGTCTGATAATCAAGTCTGTCCATGCGTAGTTGAGAGTGACTTTTGAGGCTTTTCCTTCTCCTGTTTTCAAGATGCCTCTCTTTTTTTTTTTTTTTTTTTTTTTTTTTTAAATCGGAAGCTTTAAATACAAAGCTTAGCGTGTAGTTAGTTTTTCTGCATTAAGGTCTCTATTCTGGTTGTTCTACCTTCTCTGCTCCCAATTGCTCTAGATTGCAAATCAGTTTTAGTTATCTGCTGTTTTAAAACTGTTTATTAATATGGTAAAGACAGGCAGTAGATTTTTTTATCTACATCTTCAGCTACATTTAATGTGTCAAGCTTGAGCTGAAGCCCATCATTTCAAATATACTTCTACAAAAAAAAAGGAAGTCAGAATATAATTTCAGTTCAGTAATATAAGACAGTGTTAATTTTAGTTATTTTATGAGGGGAAAGATATTTTCTATTACATTTATTAGAGGCACCTGCTTAGAACATCTGGACAGAATGAAATTTACTATTGGGATATGAACAGCTGAAATTGATAACGCAACAGGAATTTAAAGGGCCCAAGTGAGATTTTTAAAAAAGTAGTTCCTATATACATATTTTTGTGAAATTACTAGTCTTGCTCAGCATGGTATCATTGTAATATACTCCAGTATGGAACTGCTTAAGAATAGCTGTCTACAATAGTAGTTCTCTGTGGTGTATTTCTGATCACTTAAAACTTCTTAATGCAAATTTATTAGCATTTTTTTCCCTATTGCTTCTAGCAACGGGTAATGACGTGCTTCCGAGCATGGGAAGACTGGGCGATATATCCAGAACCATTTCTGATCAAACTACAGAATATCTTCTTGGGGCTTGTAAATATTATGGAAGATAAAGAAACAGAGGTAGGTGACCTTGGTAGTGATGCTAGCAGATAGTGAGGAAAAATGTATAAATATAAAATAGGGCTGGCAAGGATTAATTTGCTATCTCTGTTAGTGTGAATAAACCTTTTTTTCCTCTGAATTCTTGCTCATAAATACAGGTGTAACATATTTTCAATGCAAATACTGTTTAATCTGCTTATGCATTTGTTGCTTGTAGATTAGTTGCTGTGGGAAAGTTATACTGTGAAACCATTTCAGAGCAAAGACTAGTGCAGAATGACAGCTATTTCCATTGTATTGGAAATACTCTGTAGTATCTGTCTGTGAACTTTGCATTAGAATTTCAGGCATCAGTTTTAATTTCTGAGAGTTCTAAATAGCTGGTCACCTGGCTACCTGGATCATCCCATTACTTCTTGTGTGTGTGTGTCACATTTGGATGTAATAGAGCCATCAGAGCTTTCTTAGTTTGAGAGGAGAGCTGTGATAGATCATTTACACTGGTCTACTTTGGTCTTTGCTGTGATGCATTAGAACAGTAATTTGCTAACTTTCTAGTTATGCTACAGCATTTATATAGTTTTTTATTTTATTAGAGGCTACTTTAAACATGATATGTAGCGAGTTTTAGTTATTGCATAGTAAGATGTATAAATTATTCAGTATTTTGAAGCTCTATACTTAAAATTTTCAGAGCACCATTAACACTCAGTGAATGTGTACTGATCTATTTGCAGTTCTTTATAAATATTATTTAAGAGAATCAAGACAGTGGACACTAATAAATGGATGTATGTGTAGGATAAGGTCATTTTGTAACTGTGGAAGCATGCTTTTCAGAACAGCAGGAGGGAGACCTACAGTGTAGTCGGAAGGTTAGCTTATCTCCCTTAGCAGTAGAGCAGGGTGAATGTGCCTCTATGGAGGACAGTGCCCATACCTAGCAAGTTAGAATACATAGGTGTATTTATTATTTATTTGTGTTCCGGCTAAACAGTTGATTTCTGGCAGTTGTTCAAATTACTTGTTCTCAGGGAATCTTTCATATGTAATAAGTATAATTTATCCAACTGTAATTGGCTCATTTCAAGCTAAACCTCATTTTCATACCTCCTCTTTTGAATATAGGTATTGCAAAGCTTCCAGTACATTGTGGACAAATTCCAGGTTCTTTCTTAAAATTTTTTTTGTAGGAGGATATTGTGGTGTTTTTCCTCTGCAACCGTACTTAGTAGTAAAAATTGTTAAAGCTGAGTTGTTTGGGTTTTAGGTATTTTTAAAGCTACTCTTTAAAAACAAATTGATAATTGAAGAAGAAAAGCAATGTAGATTTATTTGTTATTGAAGTAATTCATTGTTTGCTTTCAGGAAGTACCAGATGATCTTGATGGTGCTCCCATTGAGGAAGAGCTTGATGGTGCTCCACTAGAAGATGTGGATGGAATTCCTATTGATGCTGCTCCTATTGATGATCTGGATGGAGTCCCAATTAAATCACTGGATGACGATCTTGATGGAGTTCCTTGTATGAAATGTTTCAACTTTACTTAGAGTTTAAATCTTCACTTTTTGATGATGATTTTTGAGTAGTTTCTACAAGTACAGCCAAGAATTAACACGGAATGTAGATTTTGTAAAATGTTGAATTGATAAAATTCAATTTGTTCTAGGAAGATTTAGTTATAAAACTTCTTTTAGACTGTAATGGCTTCAGAGACACAGTAGGTGTCTTCTGATGTTATGCACATCAGGTTCCAAATCCTAATTTCTTTCCTTTCGAAATAATAAAACTGTATAATATGCCTCAGTATTTAAATCTGGTTGCCATATTAGGATTTTTCTGTTTGAATTTTTGAAGTGCTTTGGAAATTATTTTTCTGTGTCTTTCTCCAATAGTGGATGCAGCTGAAGATTCAAAGAAGAATGAGCCTATATTTAAAGTTGCCCCTTCGAAGTGGGAAGCAGTGGATGAATCAGAACTGGAAGCTCAAGGTTAGCTTTAGAGTATATGTTAAACTAAAATACTTCCCTAAGCAAACTGGAACCTTAATGTCACTTACCCATTTCATTATTATTTTCAACTGATCTGTTTAAAAGTGCTAATATGATTTCTGTAGTAACACGGTAGGATTTTCAATTTTAACTTATAAGCAAAAAAATAACTTAATTGAAGGAAAATAGTGTATTCTGGTTTTGTTATTCTACTTCAGTAACCTACCAATCTTTAAAAATAATTTCCGCTTCATTAACAATAAATACTGGAAAAAAAAATTGTGTATGTGTCTGGCAGGCTTTCTAAATATTTGTTTGGAAGGTAAGATTTTACAAACTGACAAATACTTGGCTGCTTTTGAAGGATTTTCTGAAACATGATATGCAATGTAAGTTAATAGCTCTGTAAATAGTAAATATTCTGTTAAAGTGCAGTTTTGAGAATTTCTATTAAATAGAAAGTCTGTATTAAGTGCTAGATGCTGGTAAATTTTATCACATGGTAATTATTTTAGCTACAAATGCTAATTTTCAGGTTAGTGAAAGTGTTTTCTGTTAAAGTTATCTTAACTGTTTCTTCTAGCTGTTACTACTTCTAAGTGGGAGCTTTTTGACCAACATGAAGAATCTGAGGAGGAAGAAATTCAAAAGTAAATACTTTTTCATTCTGATAAAAACATATTCATTCTCTGCCTCTAAGGTTGAGTGTCTTTGGAACTGCCCATAAGATACATATGTATTATAACAGCAGAACAAAAATGAAATTTTGAAAGTAGGTAAATAAGAAAATGGAGAAAAATCAGGATTTTAGTTTAGCATGCCTTCAGCACCCATAATTTTTTTCTAACCCAATAAATTACACCATTTGGTAGTGTTCTTAACCATCATCTTTAAATTGGTGCTGGTCTGATAATGTCAAATAATAAGAACTAAGGTGGTAGTATTTTACAATTTGGAATCCTGATGTCAGATATGTGTGAATGTATCTGAACCTTTGACTTTTGCTTGTGAGACAAACACAGTGAATAACGTCCTGATGTGTGTGTTTCTTTGGATGTTCATAGACTCCATGACATCTTTTGTTTTTGCCCAGTCTCTTGCTTTGTTCTTTAGGCAATTGAGAGCATGTATTAGTAATGCTTTAAATAACTTACTGCATTGCATGTAGTCCTGCAGCACTCTAGTGGCCAGTCTGTGAATATAATTTTTAATATCTGCTGTGTCTTAGGTTTGTATCCAAAAAGCAAAAGTGTAGTAGATTTTTTTCTTTTGTAAAACTTAATATATCTAAAGAGCATTATTACAGCACTTAGAGATTTTGTTGAAGTAGTGGACTTGTTTTGTAGGTGAGTTAGATATGGATTTGGTGACCATAAATTTCAAGAATTCTTTTGCACTCTGTTTATATGAATATTATGTATGTATATAGATTATCTGAGTAATAAAATTAACAATTTAAATCAAAATATTAAGATAGCTATCTCACAGATGGAGACTGTTTTGTAGCTGCAGGCTTTTACATAACATAATCTTACTTAATAAATTTCAAAACCAGTAACTAATCATAGAAACTTAAGTAGGAGGGATAGTAAATACTGTAACAGATAATTGTCTTTATATAGCAGTTAATTCTGTATGTTTTCTATAAAGTCAAGAAGAAGAAAGTGAAGATGAGGAAGACACTCAGAGTTCTAAGTCAGAAGAGCAACACATGTATTCCAATCCTATTAAGGAAGAAATGCCTGAATCCAAGTCATCAGTCAAATATTCAGAAATGAGTGAAGAAAAGCGTGCCAAACTCCGAGAGATAGAGGTCAGTGTGTGGTGTTTTGTGCTACCCTTCTACCTTTCCAGTCTTCCCCGAGTTCTCTACAAATAACAGGGAGTTATTTTTACTGAAATAATTACAGCCCTATTATATATTGGCCTTTTATGCCATTGTATTTCTATAGAGGTACATTTACAGCCTCGCTTTACCTTATTTTGGCTTTCAAAATAACTCAGGAAAAAATGAAAAATTGAGTCAGGATATTGCATGTTGAGAATCACTCTTCAGTGACCTTTTTGAGTACCACTGGTAGCCTTAGATTGCTTCAGTGCCTCTACACTTTCTTCCACATGGTAAATGGGAGTGACTTTTGGATGTGGCCTTAGTCCTGTGCCTTTCTTGTTCTTTCTGTCCCTTGCCTCAAAGTGTCTGTATTTTATTGCATTTAAAAGTTCCTCTGGGTCAGCCACCAAACAAAGAAGTAGATGCAAGTAAACCAGGTGGTCCTGGAAATGGGGTGTTTTAATTGAAGACCTACATGCGGTTTATAGGACTCACTTGTTCTTTTAGCCTTTCTCCAAGCACAGGCATTAGTATACCTGTTAAGGTGGTTGAGCAGAGATTCTCATGTCTTCATGCTGGCTTATAAGCTTATGGTTGACTGAGAAGTTAACGAGAACTTGAATTTAGCATGACCTTTGTCTAGCAGTGAAGTCTCTGTCATACAGTGCCGTGCAAAACCAGGTTTAAAATTTCATGTGACTTCCTGGCTTGTATTCAGTATTAAAACCCATGATACATTGAATACTGAAATTCTTGTGCCTTATGTTCAGTGCATTAAAATGATAATAAGAAAGGTGCTAAACTGCTTGTTGCAGTTGTAGTATCTCCAAGCGACAGATTATAATTTGGATAATATTTTGAAAGTGAAATTGTGGCTGCCTACCTGTTTATGCTATAATGTACTAGTTAGCTAAAATTGGGCATTAGCAAAGCCCCACAATACTCTGAAGATACACAAAGAAATATTTTAAAATGTCACGACTGTTGTTTCTCCCAAATATGCTTCTGTTTAATTATTCAGATTATTAAGATTAATGGACCATTACTGAGCACTTAGAAACCTCTTGCTTTGCATAGTAGTTTGAAAATTCATGATACATAGCCATTCTGAGTTTGAGAAAAGCTAAATGGGATTTATGTCTGACTTGACTCATGGTGGCAGTAGTTCTGTAGAAAATATATCATGTTAGACTAACGAAAGTACAAGTGAAACTAGTTTTCATTTTGCTGTATTAATGATTATAGTGGTTACGGAGAGGGCTCCTGACGGACTGAGTATCTGTTTTATAGGTGTTATCCTGGCAGTTGTGGAGACAGATTAGGGAAGTGATTTAGTATAACCATTGTCAAATTTACACTGCACAAGTGTTGTAAGTTCTTTCATCAACGTATCTTGTCTGTAACAGTCTTAGGTGGCAAATATTTGAGATTTTCAAGTTCATGTTGCCATCTTTATTCTTTGTGGTAAGTGAATTGCCATCTCAGTTTCAGACTTCTGGAATTGCTAGAAAATAATTGTATTTTTTTTTCATTTTCAGAATATTTCAGACACTATATAGAAATACTTAAATTTAAAAATTTCTCCTCAGGTTTATCATTGGCAGGAAAGTACTCCCTGTATTACTTCAAAGCATTCACGTTCAACGTTTCTTCTTATGTACCCAGTCCCTGGCAAAGAATGTATCGATTATTACATTTGAGGGGAGGAACTAAGGAAAAAAAAAAAAAAGAAACCAATCACTAACTTTAACAATTATGCCATCTAATATACACACTAAAAATGTGTAAAATACTTGGCAAAAAAAAGCAAAGTCTGATTCCCTAGCAGTTTACACAGTGACTACCAGGGATGCTGAAACACATTTTTTAATGGTCTTTTTGGAAACTGATGAATACAAACAACAGTTCTCTCTCTGCACATAGTTAGTAAATTGAGTTTGTCAGCTGGGAGGGGAAAGTTCAGTAAGAAACAAACTTTGGCCACAGCCATCAGACTGGTGCCATCAGAGAAGACAAGCTATTTTAACCCTTTGTTTGTCTTCTCCATACCCCTGTTAGCTTTGCTGAAGTGTGAATTCTTTCTAGAACTGAGCAAGAGCAGAGGGTCTTTTGTAACGCTGAGGAACGGTGTTTTCTTTAATTTTTTTTAAGTGTGGAAAGATCGGACTTTGCTTTACATTATAACTCAAATTTGAGAATGGTTTTTATGGTGCTCTGCTTGCGTGTATGTATTTCTTTCCCTGCCCCAGCAACATGTAAAAGAAAGGTATATTCCTCTTTGTAAAGAGATCTCAGTGCTGTGAAGTGTTAGAAAAATGCGAATTTTATGTTGTTTAAATTGTTCATTAAGCTTGTTTCCTCAGAAAGTACAAAAACTTACAGACAAAATGAAGCAGCATTGTCCTCCTTGGACTTTTCTCTAAGGTACTTCTGTCCCCATCTTGCTGCACAAGATTTTATAATTCTACCCCAAAAAACCATAGCACAGACTTCATCTGCAGCAGAAGGCAGGCTCTTCACAAATTCAGATGTATCAGTGCTTCCAAAAGGGGAAAACAGAAGATTTGTCATCTTTAGTAGCTGCCTTTACTCGCCTTTGTGTTAGCCACCTGAGACCTCAAAATAGTATTCAGTTGCTTAATCAGAAGTAGAAGACTAATGGTCTTCAATCTTCTTGTTCAGCCTTGCTGCTACATACCGCTGAGCTCCAGGAGATGCAGGACTGGTTTGTTTTATACAGTCCTGTGTTTGTACTTTGTCAGTACCTCCCTACCCAGTGTGTGAACAGATTCTCCCCTGACAAAAATGTCTCGTGGTATTTGAGGTGCAATCTGTTTTTCTACCAAGAGCCAAAGGAGTTTATCCTGCATGTCACAAAGGAAAGCAGGTTACTTTCCTTGTTTGTTTTTTTTTTTTTTTTGTTGTTGTTGTTGTTATGAATTGCTGTACCAGACAAGATCAATATACACCTTTAGTGTAGTATTCAGTCTTCAACAGAGAATGAGTAGAGCACAAGATAAGAATAGATTAAGCATAGTCCACAAGAGCAGATTGTATCTAAAGCCTGTTGTGTGTTTCAAGGCCCTGTATACCTTTGTCAAAAAAAAAAGGTTCCATACAGTTTCCATTCTTTCTTTCTCTGGATTATGCTGCTTAGTATGCACAATACTCACCTTTGAGTATTTGTTCATCAAGTCATAGTAGCTGTCTGAGGCTTCTAATCATCACTAGAACTATACAACACTTTGGTTTTCACAGTCTGTGGAGGCTTCTCTACCTAGTTTACTTGAGGCCACTGCAAAATGGCAAAATCCAATTAAATATCTTCCTCATTGCATCTTAATAATAACAGCTGAGACAAATTATCTCTTGCTTGACCAGTAGTTTTGCTATTTATAGCAGTTGTTCCTTAGGATATAATGAGTATCTTAATTCAGCAGATTCTGGTCTATTTTAAAGCTTGGAATCTACTTCTATTTTACACAAAGACAAAAGTGAGGAATTGTTTAGCTCCAAGACACATGACATCCTGTGAAGTGGGATTGAGCATACCAGAGGTCTGTTACAGCTGAAGAGGTATTTCACATGTGTACATCAGTATCACTGTTATCTGTTGTTGATAATATTGTAGCTGCAGAAATTCCACTGCTCATAGACTCACTAGAAAACTCGGGCTTTCAAAGAAATATTTTGCTCTCCTTCTAGCAAAGTCTAGGACTTATTGCAGCAATTGTTGGGGGTGAGTCTGTTTTAAGGAAGAACAAAAGACTTTGGTTTGCTTGGTTGTCTATCCTGTTTGTAATCAATCTAGATTTGAGTGCAATTATATATTGAGCAGAAATTCCTATCTTTCATCAAGCATTTGGGGATTAACTTCCTAGTTAATCCTAGTATGCAGCTGATTTACCTTAAGTAAATTGTCTTTGAACCTGGCCACTTAAGTTCTGAGGCTGTGTAACTGTGAAACAACCTCTTGTGAAAAAGCCTTTTTTTCCCCCTGAAGACCTACTGTGTATGGACTTGGACAGCATCAGCAGAAGATTAGAAAACCAAGAACAGTTTTTGAAAATAGATTAATTTTCAGCAAGGGAGGCTACTCACAGCACACCTGTTGGTGTCAAAATGCAAAAAGCTTCATGCAGGGCTTCAGTTTGTGTCAGTCTCTGGTTTCGCTGGACCATGGCAGCAAGATGTTACCCTTTTCTGTGACTTGCTAGTTTACTGGTTAGTCTGTAATCAAGGCCTCAACTTCTATGGAAGGCTGAATCTTTTAAACTCTCCTGAAATGAGTTTGAAGAGAGAGAGAGGGAAAATTTCAAGATGAGAACCAATGCACAAGAGGCATGTTGAACTTAAAAGAGATACCTCTCCTCATGGTTAGTGAGAAATACCATCCCTTCATTGGAGCATTTAGTAGAGATTGCTTACAGGAACTCCAGTGATATTTGACACTTATACACTGTAGTCTCTGGAAACCTCTAAACTCTGCTGTGGGAGACTGCTGTGTCTAAGGAATTGGTATTATGAAGTTTTGGCAAAGGGCTTGGAAAAATTTTCCCCTTCCGTATTACCATGTGCATTGCTGTCTCCAGACATAGTGTAGATAAAGTCAATGTATCTACTCCTAATGATGAACAGGCTTAATAGTTTTTATCTGTTGGACAAGAATAGTTAAATAACCAGTTCAATGAGAATGTATTAGTTCTTTCTAAATGGAGGTTTAGAAAGTGGAATGCTTAGAGATTAGGTTAGATGCTTAAGCAAACTTGAGCTTAAATTTTAAGGATCTCTCCTGGGCAGGTACCTGGAACTGTGTGATAGGTATATAAGCATCATACACTCTACATGAAGAAGTCAATAAGAAGAGTGTTCACTCTGGCCAATAGGCTACACCAAGCATACAGGTTTATATGGTAATTTTGAGTGATAGAATTCTTTAGAGAATTCTTTTCTGAACTTTGGGACCTAAGTAATTCCTTTTCTTTTAAAACATTGTTATGGTGGTGGTGATTTAGAGCAAGTAGCAAAAGTTGCTATACATGAAGGTGTAGGATGAGCTGATCTGATCTAACTGCTCACCTCTACTGAAAGGGAATTTTCTGATTCTACCTGTGAGCTCTGGCACTTGCTTATTCTTTCCCTGAGCCAATACATCTCACTAATGCAGGGAAAAAAAGTTGAATGTGGGAGGTAGACTTCTGCTGGATTAGTGAATTTATTTGCTTTGTGGAAGGCTCAAGCAAGCACTGGAGCTGCTGCAAGGGCAGGGTGGAGGAGGAACCTTTTTCTTGGAGTGCCAGAATAGAGAAGGGAGGTGGAAGAGAATGATCTTCTGTAGTGAGCTGTTGGTATCATTTCAGTATTTTGTAACACCCAGTCTCCTTTTCCAGGGACCTACTAGAGCTGATTTCCTCTACCCACAGCATCTTTCTAAAAGGAGTCGGGTTCAAAGGGAGATACAGCAAGTATGTGGAAGAGAGATCCACTGATGACTGGTCTGTAAAAGACCACAGCTGTCTCAGGAAACCATACAGAGAGATGTTGAGTTGGCTGTTGTGTAGGCTTTTTTCCTCTAGGCACCTGCTAATGACCATCTTCCCCCACCCTCCCCATTAATGGAAAAGTTACATGCAAATAGTTCCTCCTGGCATTTTAAATTTTATGCCAACAGTGAGTTGTGCAACATGCATATAAGACAGGCTGCTTGAAGTTCAGCATTTCTTTGTGCCCATATTAGTTTATTAAATCAAATAAAGCCTGTTGATCAGATTTCTAGTTTTCCTTCACATCAGGTTGCTTTGTGTTACAGACTTATGTTTTCTTGCTTTCAAAATACAGTTAAACAGACATAGTGTCACAGCTTTGCTGGCTAAAAGTATAAATAAAATCTTACTAGGATGGGGGTTTGTTTTGGGCTTTTTGTTGGTTTGTTTTTGTTTGTTTTTGTTTTTTTTTCAATTTTGGGGGTTTTTTAGATTATCTGGGTGATTTAGTTGAGAAAACAAAGTAGAAGTCTTATGGTCATGTTTATACTATGGCAGGTCAAGAGGCCTTCTGGATCAGCTAAGCTTCCTCTGTACTCCTTCTGTTCAGTACTGAGTGTGCTAAGCAACTAATGGCATTGGAGTTCACATCACGGTAGAGCATGCAATCTTGATTTCTCACCAGAACAAGTCATACAGGGTGACACTGAATATATGGTTCCAAGAGGCACTCTTGCTTTTGAAACTTCTACATTTGAAGGGGGGGAGAAGAAAAAATGCCTTTGTGGAAGGTGGAGTGATATGTGACAAATGATGATGTCAGTTTTCCATTGGCTGCTGACTATTTAATTGGCTGAATTGTAAGCAAAAATGAAAAAAGCTCAACCATAGGTAGTGTACTCTGTAAATGGGGGAGGTAAACACAACATTTGTCAGCAATTTACCATGGTACAAGATAGCAGTGTCCTCCCCCCCCAAGTTGCTTCATCGTGTTTGAAACTAAAATGAAAAATGTGTTGTTGGCATAAGCTCTGTACCTGAAGGGGAAGGGATCCTTTCCAAAGCCTGTTCAAAGTAGTGTTATCTTTGCCTGGGTTTTATGTTTCTTAACATATTTGTTCTTGTGATTAGTTTGTTTTTGTAATACCTTTCCTTTCTGCTCAGTCAATAATTAGAAGGGCTGATTCGAATGTATATTGTGTCTTCATATCCCATCTAGCCTGCTGCTTTTGAGAGGGAAGAAAAAACCTTTAGGGTTTTTATTTTTGTGCCTACTTCGTATTAGGGAATTGAGGACCTGGAGAATAAGAATCCTTTTAGATAATCAAAATGGACATAGTTGCAATGTCTTTTTCCTTTTTGTGTTTTCAGTGTGGAAGATTTAAATATTTCTAAAGAGAAAAATATTTTGAGTGTTTGTTAAAAATGAAACCTCAAGCACTGGAAACATCTACTCATATATGTCTGTGCAAGTCGGTATTGAAACATGAAATACGGGAGGGTCAGAGCATCAGTATATGGAAGAGGGCTGACAAATACAACATGATTTATTACCAAGCCTTGAGACACCTCCTCATCCAAAAAAACTGAAGGATTGTTTATAAAAGGCTATGACAGTAAGAATAAAGAATTGACAAATGATAGGAGATGTGAGTGAAGTTTTATGATGTGAGTCAGCGTGGAGAAAGGTTTTAGTGTATCTAGACCAAAAAAACCCAAAAACCCACATGGAAGAATTCTGACATTTGCTTAACTTTGTGACTCGGAGATGATATCGCAGTAAATTCAGTGTTACATTTAGCAGCACTAGTGAACTGAATTTTGTTGCTCAGCTTGATAGCATGTGAAAGATTATAATGTTAGTAAAAATCACTTCTTTGAAATCAGTCACTGTGCAAACAGCCCTGAAAAGGAGATGCATTTGTTTTATGTCCATCATTTGATTTTAATATTTAGGGTTAAATGGCAAAAAAAGGCAATTTCTGAAGGAAAACTCAGAGAAGTTGAAACAATATTATTAAGACACGTCCAGTAAATGATCTCATTTTGAAAGAAAATAAACAGATAATGATCTAAGAAATATAAGGATGCAGTGTTCTAATGATGGAACAGAATTTATTAGAATAATGGAAAAAATCCCTATTTTTAGTTCTTAATATGTCTGTGAACAACTGCAGGTGCCTGCAGATGAGTATGGGGTTTTGTTGCTTTGATCCAGTTTGAATTAAGTTAGTATCTTTTTGTGCACAAACTTATGTAGAAAGAATGAAAACCAGAGATTATAAATAATGGAAATTTCATTTTCAGCCACCTGCCTAACTGGATAATTATAAGCCCAATAACCTAATGGTCAGTATTATTTTCACAGCTTAAGGTGATGAAGTTTCAGGATGAGTTAGAGTCTGGGAAAAGACCCAAGAAACCAGGCCAGAGTTTTCAGGAACAGGTTGAACACTATAGAGACAAGCTGCTCCAGAGGGTAAGAAATGTTCTTTATGTTTGGTTCTGATTCTGTGATAGGCTTTTATTGAGTTTATCAAATGTAAGGTGGCATAAAATATAACAGCACATGGTTCTCATTGAAATTCTACTGTAATGTCAAACTGCATGTCTAAGTCTGAGTGCTTTCTGCAGAGTAGCTATAATCTCTCTTTTTAATTGGAATAATAATGTAGTATTTCACAGTGTACAGATGGATACCGCTGGCATGTGTTGAAACCTTAAAGAGGTCACTTCTGGATCTATTACATAAAGCAAAGTTACTACAAAGTTAGGTGTGGGAAAGGAAAAGGAGAGCTGTAATTTTAAGGTGTTAATCAGACTTTTAATTTTCATTTTAGTAATTGTGCTAAAAGGTTTTTCCAAAGTAAGACAAAGCTGTATTAAGCAGCGTGTGTGCTTCTGATTCTCCAGTGTCTAAGATTTCCTGGATAATTCTAGCCCATACTGTCACCCAGAAGTGAATAATTCTGTACCATTACCATTTTTGGTAGTCCTCTCTGGACTATGAAGTCACAGTGGCTTTAAAAACTATCATCAAATGCGATGTCATGTGGTCTTGAATTTGAAACATAAAGAAGGGACACGTAACCTGTTTGGACAGTGTGTTTAGTGAGAGTAAGTGGCAGTTGCTTCTCTAGTCTGGTTTCATAGCCTGACCGATCAATGATGAAATTGGATACCTGTGCAGTTTCTTGGAAGCTAAATACAAATAGGCAGTTTTCAACAGGTTCTTGTTTGTCACCTGTTCTTTGCATTATTTGTTGCTCAATATTTGACTAATTCACTACAGTAATTTTCCACAGTACCTTGAAGAAAGAGAATTGTAAAAATTAACACAGCTGATCACTACAGACTTACACATTTGAAGGTCAATGTTAGCAGTTAAGGCTTTAATTTTTATAAGTAACTTTCCTTTTAAATATAGTTGTGTCTTAAAACTTCCCACTTCCTCAGTGTTTTCTGTAATTGGAGAAAGAAGTGATTTGTACAGTAAGCACAGGATGTTCAGTGAGATGGTATCTTAAAAAAACAGAAATCATAATCCTGGTAACTTTGTTAGGTGCCTTGTGTTGAATTAGTTCAACCAGCTTGCAATATTTTAAATTTTTAATAATTATCTCACTTCCACTCTAAATGGTGAAGGTAATAGTTAAGAAATATTTAATGACAATTATAACAGGTGTTCTTTAAAACAGTAATAACCCTGTTGTTAAGGGAATAAATTTATCTTTTGATTTAATGCCATAATGAAGTTAACTTACATAATAATAATGTAATGCTAGTTCTAATTGCATTTCCCACAAACTTGGTGGTTTGTCATTTTTTTGGTCTAATTTACTATAGAATAAGCTTTCCAAGAGTAAGTTTGCTAGTAGTATTGTATATTGTTAAGAGAATAGGAAGTTAGAGCTATTTTAAATACTTTTTATTCCTGTTTATCAAGATGAAATAATAGTTGTGCTATCAAATAAATTAGGCACACCCTAAGAGCCCATTGATTTTAGTATAATCTAACAGTAGTTTGCAATAGTAGGTATAACTATAAGGGACACTTTAAAATTTCACTGGTAAGTCTTCCATGTAAAGAAAATGTGGGACTTAATTAGTATAGTTGTCCTGGTATTTCCTGTACTTGTGTAATCTCCCTCCTCTCCTTCCTACCACCCACCCCCATCTTTCATTCAGCTAAATCATCCCTTCTTTGTCTTCTTTATGGGTTATGCAGGGAATATCTGTTTATTTTTTGCCATGGAAGGGGTTTTTTTATGCCAGTACTGAAAGAAGCTCATCTCTTGATCTCTGTGTTCAGACTTGCTGATGGTTTAGGTTTATTTTTTGTAAAATTAATTTTCTAACTATTTGATAGACAGATGACGCGTGCTCAGGGTATGTATTTTCTTTTTTAAATAGTCCTGTTGGTATATAGAAATGGACTGTTTTTATGGGGTTTTCCTGACAAGAGTAGGTGTTATTGCAGAATCTTGTTTGTAGTTTTGTTTTTTTCTTTAAATTTCTTGTAGCTATGAGATTATCTCTCAAATTTTAGTCTGAATTAATGAAGATGAATAGATATGTTTTAAGTAGAAAGAGGTGCCTGGTATTCTTTCATGTTTAGTTTAGAAAATCTATTACAGCTGTAATATTTCCCTGAAACTTGCAAAGTTGAAGACTGTTCATTTCCAATTAGATACTCAGACTTTCTCATGTAGGGGGACATCTATCATGTTTTTGTCAGTGTTTGTGTTACAATAAATATTTCTGCTGTGTACAAAGGAGTAGTAAAGATTTGAAGCCTGAGTTATGGGGTGACCTTTGGTTCCTTCCCCAATGTTGTGCTGTGTTCCTTCAGTGCTCAATGCTTTTATGCTGTTTGTGATAGCTTGATTGTTTTTACTTAATAGTCATACCTCATCTGAAATCATGAATGCTTCTAATAATTTAGGAAAAAGAAAAAGAGTTGGAAAGAGAACGGGACAGAGACAAAAAAGACAAGGAAAAATCTGAATCCAGGTCCAAAGATAAGAAGGAAAAGGAGGAATGTACACCAACAAGAAAAGAGAGGTAAGACTTTCCTTGAAGTGGATGGAAGGAAAAACCTCACAGTTAATGATAGTCTTTGTATATAATGGCAGTCTTGAAGTTATGTTGTATCATGCATCTTATTTTAAAAGAAAAACACAAAACCACCCAAATAAAAACCTCACCCAACAACAACAAAAATGCATTTTGGATATAAAAATATACTTCAAAATTTTGAAGGAATTGCCATTTTTATCCTGCCCCAAGTGATGTACCTTATTGAATAGAATCTCCTTTTTGGTCTTTTATACCCTGAGAAAACATGGTAAAATAATGACCAGTTGAAAACAGGGTATATTTAACTCTTTTAGCTGTAAATTGACTGCAGTGTATTAGTCAGAAAATTGTACTGAAGTCACACTGCAAATTATTTGCAGTAGTTTAAATGTATTAATCTCATAATGAAAATTCTTCAAAACAACTAGTTTTAGGGTAGTTGATTGTACATTCTGATTTTCTAATACTTGTATAGTCAAACTCTTCCATGATATTAAGTGTAGATATGGTAAAATGCCTTGCCTTTCAGGAAGCTGTAACAGAATGTTTTTACAATGCAATAAACAAAGATGAGTCACAGGCCTTAATTTTTTTTCAACCAGAGAAAATCTGGTGCACATGTTGAACTTGATTTTTTTTTTTAAAGTAATAAAAGGCCTACCACTTGTTAATTACTTAAAAGGATCTAATGTTACATTGGCAAAATAAAAAATTACAGAAAGGAATCGATTTTCTTAATATAAATTTTCACTATGTGTATCTCTGCATCTGTATGTATATAACTGTATTTGCTTTTTTTACAAAGGAAAAGACGACACAGTGCTTCACCTAGTCCATCTCGCAGCAGTGGCAGTAGACGAGCAAAATCTCCATCGCCAAAATCAGAACGCTCAGAGCGCTCTGAACGGTCCCACAAAGAGAGTTCACGTTCTCGGTCATCACATAAAGATTCTCCTAGAGATGTCAGTAAAAAAGCCAAAAGGTAAGCTGGTATCTTCTCTATTTCAGGTTATAGAAAAGTTAAGTACATAGGTATGTTTTCAGTGGGGTGTTTTGTTTGTGTGTTTTTTAGCAGAGCACATTTGATGCACAAATATTTTGTCTCATAGTGGACTGTACTGCATGTTCCTGGTTAATATCTTTGGACAATCTGAAATGTATACAGCCTCCTGCTTTGAAAGCTCCGGACTCTGCTTCTATGTTCTTGTTTACCTGTTTACTGAAAATTTTGAGAAATACTCCTTAAACCAAAGCACCTTGCTGCTTTATTAGCTTTTTCTTTTCAGAGGACAGATCTTCTGTAGCCTGTAACTTCCAGAATTATAGTGAGCATGTAGTCTTCAACTGATTTGCTTACATGAAGCTCCTCTCCCATGCTCTGTTTTCTTAATGAAAAACAAACTAGATTAGATGCTGCTTATAGATTTTTCTTTCCAAAGTAGGTATTTCCTACTTTCTAGACTGACAAATATTTGTCTGTAGCTACTGTTAAACTTATTATTGTATCGATATTTTGTAGCTCAAAAGTCAAAAGTTCAGCTTCCACTTCTTTTAGCAGTGCATAAGATCTTACTAAGATTCATCAGACGTGCTGAGGAAAATTCGTTTGTTGAGAAAATCATAGCACATATTCACAGTAATCAGATTCATGTGCTCTAAGGAATTTGTATAGAAGTAGAAAAGTATTTGAGGTGGGTTTTTTTAGAGTTAATATGATGGTCATTCAATTTTGGTTATATCAGATTAATGTATTGGGTGTGGGTTAGATGACAGTAAGTTTATTCAGTGTCCATTCTTTTTCTGTGGGGTTACATCACAAGTTGAACATATTTGAGAGTCAGAAGTATTTCAACATAACACAGTTCAACATAATTACTCATTTTTGTTCTCTTCTATATGGATATAGGCTGCTATTAATACAAGAGCCAAGGTGTTTGAGGCATATGTGGAAGGCTGTGAATTCCTTATGCTGGTTTAAGGACATGAGTTGGTGGTGTTTTTCTTGTGGGTTCTAAGCACTGAACTTAAGCCCAAAATACATGAAAAACCTTATAATGCAAACATTGCCTTTTTCTCAACAGTGGGATATTGTTCTGTTACTTTCCCTTACTAGATAAAAACATATTCTACCTTGTATAGCTCAATAAATAAATGCCAAATAGTGGCAGAAAAAGTTGCTCTTAGCAATTAGTACTTGACATAAAACTTGTTTTTCTTTGCAGGTCGCCATCTGGCTCCAGGACACCCAAAAGATCAAGAAGATCACGATCCAGATCCCCTAAAAAGTCAGGGAAAAAATCCAGGTCTCAGTCCCGCTCTCCTCACAGATCTCACAAGAAGTCAAAGAAAAGCAAACACTGACATTGTTAATATTTTTTATGATGCTGTCACTGGAAATGCGGTTTTGTTTTTGTGCCTGAACAGTCTGTTAAAAAAACAAAAAAGCATTCCTGATATTTTTTTTGTGAATGCACGTGTATACTCATGAGTATCGACATCTGTAGACCTGTCATTGTTTTATATTGTACAAAATATCTTCATTGTGACTATTTCCCAAAAGAAACGTTTTTGTGTTTAGAAGTTTCATCAGAAATGCGTGTAACTGATCTGCTGGCAGTAGTGATGCTTTGTTTTAGAATGTTGTGACATAGCAGAAATAACTCAAATGTTCCCCTTTTTTGTAGCTTTGACAATTTGAATTAGATTTCAAATAAAATATGAACAGAAAATTAAGATGTTGTTTTCTTGCCCCACTGGTGATACAGATCTTTAAAGGAGTTCATAGTTTGTTTGGAAGTACTGTGTATTTCAGACATACTATGGTGCTTAGGTCTTTCAGCATAGTGGTAGCTCAGTTCCTGTTTTCTCTGGTTTAACTATCCAGATAAAAGCACCTTTTGAATCCAGTGGATGGGTTTTCTTCCCTACCATGATATTTTACTGTAAGAACAGCTGAACAGTCTGGTACGTACTATGATAAGCTTTACAGGTAAATCTTTGCTTCGTATTTCTCCATTTTAATTGCAGGGAATATTTGTGACACCAGAGTAATGTTTTTGTTCGTTTTTAAAAAGGGGCCTCTGCAGAGATGCATCATGTATGTGTATATCTTATATATATGATGTATCAGTAACAAGCCATACTTATGGCATGCATGGGGAACAATTAAAAGGACATCAAGTCTGAAGCACTATGACTTCTTTGTTTAGGTACAATAATTGCAACCTACAGCACACTATTGTTTTCTAAAACTGATTTTTACTCCAAAAGGACAGCTTTTACATTATTTTATTGAATTTATTCCTCTGTTGTGGAAATCCTTCCAAATGGGAAAAAATAAATTTTTTTATTACGTATTTTATTTATTAATCTTTTGGAATCAAGACGCTGTTTACCTTTTCTTAATGTTAGGCTTTCCCTTTTCCAAACTTGTTCTGTGTGTTAGGCATTGATGTGGCTTTAAATCACTTCACCTTGGTCTCATCATGCAGCCTTTCTCTGGGTGGGAGGTGGGGAGGGATGAGAAATGGGGGAGGGTTTAGTGTTTATACTTGGAGGCGTGGGGAGATTGTAATAAAAACGTAAAATTAAAAGGGATCTGCTTCCTGTGAACTGTTTCTAAAAGCAAAACTGTACTTAACTGCAGGCATGGAGTGCTGGATCAGATCCTGCTGTTATACTTGTGTATTTACGGGTTTTACATTGTTAGAATTTTGTAAATGTTTAGGGGACAATCTTATGGTGTACATGTATATAGCCTAAGAGGCAACACTTTCAGAAGCAGAATCTAAAAGGTCTTTTGAAAAACATACATATTTAATTTTTTAAAAAATCCAATTTTTTTCCCAGTGGGAGACTTTATTATAAGAGTATATAAATTGTTGAAAATGTGAGAATTAAGTGGAAATTTCTCTTTGCTAATGAGATCTGAGAGATGACCTGGGATACTGAAAATATGGAGAATGAATGCATACTGTAAAGACTGACTTAGAATGAGTATTCAATAGATGCATTGATAATGAGAAAAAATACACCTTATGTCTGTTTATATTGCATTATAAAGAATCTGGTTTAGAAATATACAGAGTTTATTTTTTATATTTTTCTTTTTCCCTGTAACATAAGGTGTTTCAGATGTACAGATTTTGGTAGCTAAACTATTAGAAACTAAGTTGTGTTGGGTTTTTTTTTTTCTTAAATGCTGTGTATTCACATGTGACACAGGCTGGGTAAGGTTTCTAGAGCAAGATGTAGGTACTAAAATCAATTGGGAACAGGGAGCATCCTAATTTTACAGTAGGAAGAAGATCGCTTGAGATAGTTTAACTTCTTTAAAACTATTACTTTTATCTTACAGCTGTTTGTAAATGGAGGGGTGGTAAATGTCAACGTTCTAGATAATGTGAGGCTACAAATAGTTTGCCACAGGAATATTCTATCTGCAGAATCAATTGTGTATTTAATTTAATAGCTAAAAATCCTCAGAGTAGAAAATAATTTAGCATTATAGGTTAGCCATACTGTTCAATAATTAATTTTTATTTCAGATTTTATAAAATTATCATCAGTGATTATAAGTCTCAAGTCAAGTAGCTAGAGAACTGAAGAAGCACACCCGTTAGACTTTGACAGCTCTATTATGCAATACCTTTTTCCAGTATCTATATTCTCTAAAATACCATTCTTATACCTCTTGTTCTTTGCTTTATATCCTGGACTTTAGAAAAGCTGTTTTCGACCTAGTAGTCTTTTAAGAGCAATTAGGAATCCTTAACTGGATTCCTGGGGTTTTTTCTCCTTTTGAAAAGAACATCTTTTGATCCTACTTTTAAAATTTTCTTCCCTTCCTTTATAAATAGTTTTGTTTACAGTTTGGCTTTTTCTCAAAGAAAAGCAGGGGGGGGACACACAGCATCTGGTAACAAATCTTTTGTAAAAGATGTAAATGAATATTGAAGACCGACAATTAGGCTGCCTGTGAAATTTTGTTTTTCCTTAGGTTGTGCTGCAGTTATGTGGTATAGTTGGAGTGTGCTATTACTGTGTGACTGGTGTTTATGCAGCTTTTTGGTGTGAAATGGTGAAAAATCGTCTAGTTGATGTAGGATAAGAGTAATTTAAATATTATTCCTGGGATTCATGGAGTAGGATTCAATGAATCCTTGTGGAAAAAAGCTCTGAGCTGAGGAGGTGTGGTCCAGTGTTTCCAGATGTTTTTTGTGCTTGTACAGGAAGAGGGACCCCGTTGTCCTCCAACACCCCCCAGGTGGTGAGCGACAGACCCTTGGCTTTGGGAGGAGGAGGAGGCATGAGTGGGTAAGGGGCTTCTCTGTCCTCTCCTGCTTGGAGTTAAGGATAATATCAGAAGTAAATATTCATGCTTTAGTGTTAAGGTTTATCCAGAGCAGAGAAACAGCGTGGCTTGCTACAGGCACGCTCTAGCGTGGCCGATTAACCCCACTGCAGCTTGAAATAGTGGCTGGTGAGGCCTATCTTGGTGTGGGATCACATTAGAAAAGGATCGTATATGGCATATACCCGGGTATGTACTAGAGACTGCCATGCTGATCTGTTTTGGTGAAGCCTACCCAGCACTCCATAGGACATTCAGATGTTTGGATGAAGGCTGCCTGGTATGGAGTTGCAAGTTCATCTTTGTTTTCTCTGAATCAGTCCTGACCTCTGTGAGTGTCTCTTGTGTCTCTTGTCACGCTCGGAGCGTGTGGGCCCTGTCTCAGTGGAGAAATGCTACTTGGTTGCATAGAGTCTCCTTCTGACAATTAAAATCTTTCCTTACCATGTTACAGAAGTGTTTATATTTGAACTGCCTTTTTTAAACTCTGTGACTTCCTTTGACCTCTGCACACCAGCTGCATATACCTTTTGTGATACTATTTGAGGAAGAGTTGGTTTCTGAAAGTCAGTGTTAGGTTATTTGGGCACCAGGCACTGTGCATGTGTTCTCCCCCTGCTCCCCCTCAGAGGTTTTGAAGTGTAAGAATAAACTGCTTATGAACATGGGTAACAAATTATGTTTTCCAAAGCATATATTTAGAATTGCAACTATCGCTAATGTGAGTTCATCTGTCCCAGTGACACTGAACATACTGCTGCTTTCTGCATTTACAAATCACCTGCTGTACTAATATAGCAGCTCGACCTAAGCACATGTGAACCCGCTGCAGTTGCTGGATTGTGTTCATTGTTTTTCTGCATGTAAAACTACCACTATGCTTTTTCAGTTACAAACTTGTGATTATCCCCACCACTGGGATCGCTTTCAAATTTGTACTGATTTATTTAATAAATTTCCGAGGCAGATTTTATATCTATAACTGTAAAAATTGTATCAGACCCCCGCTGTGGCATGAGAACTACCTGAGACATCTAAGTTACAGAGCACTAAAATGGGAAATCCTTAGGGACTTCTTGGGGATCAGCCAGTGTTTGAGGCATGTTCTTGGCACATTGAAAAAAAAAAATAGCACTGTCTTTGAACTGTGCCTGTAAGAGGAAGGTATCTTGAAGGACTTCACGTACCATGACTTAAACTAGAATCTTATAAGAAAAGCAAGATTGGCCAAAAACGACAAATCTGTTCCGAGCATCTTTTATCACCTTAGGCAACTTGCTTGTGGGTTTTTCCTCCACAGGCATTTAGTCCTTTGGTGGAATTAATGCTTTTAATAAAAATTAGAAGCAATGGATTAGAGTCTGAACTTTGTATCTAGTTTTAGATGGCTGTCTTGCTGTACTTTCATAGAGCCGCTTGAGGAATTCAGGGTGAGAGGTTTCTCAGCTGTTGTGGGTCTACACTGAAGTACTTACATGAGGACACATTTGGCTGCATCAAGGTAAAGGTAGTTTTGAAGGATATTTGAATTGCTGCCTTTTTAGTAAAGACTGGTCTACTCTCTATGCGTTTTCATTGTTGAAAAATCTAGATTGGGGCACTTATGAAGGTCCAACAAGAGAAGTGAATTCTCTACAGCTGAAGACGGCAGCAGTGGAGTAAGCTAGAGGAAAATTTTACAGTCCTTTTAAAATCAACTCCAGTATCGTGAGATTTATCAAATTTAAAACCTGATACTAGCAGTCAAACCCTGAAAATCATCTTGGAGGTTACTTTTCTGAATAAGGCTCTTCATAAAATTCTATTTTATTAAAACGGCTCATAGTATTATTTGAAAATTTCTTTTTTGTTCTCATGAGCTACTGCAAGACTTTCAGTATACTGCCAGTTCATCTGCTGCTGTAACTGCTGCTCTTCAGTTTGTAAACCAGTCTTGTAAGAATCATAACTAAAATAATTTAATTTTGTCCATGTGTATTTTTCCCCATGTAGGATGCATAAGTCTTAAGCAATTGCATACTTTTTTTTTCCTCACCTGCTTCTGTCAGCACAGTCAGTTTTCATGGGTAAGCCTGTTCCACTTGTCACTTCTGATGTCTAATCTTGTGCAGGGATGTTTTACTGTGTAACTCTGTCATAAGCTGGAAAGTTTTCTGTTTGTGGTTATTAAAAGAGGAAATGGTAGTTTCACATGAACTTTTTCGTCTTACTTGCTTTTGGGTTTGTATTTTATGCAGAAAATTTTCCAAATGACATGGTGACAATAAAATTGTCAGTTTGCCGATATCTAGAAATGGTTTTATTTTTAACCTGTAAAAGGGTGATGTTCATGTCTGTTATGCTAAGGGTCTTCTGCTGGTTGATGCTGATTCTGCCTGTGTTGTTGAACTGTAATTGCTGCTGCTGTTCTTCTGTCAACAGTGACCTCTGTGTTTCTCAGAAACTCATTAACAAGGCACAGGCTGCTCACTGTGTCGTTGCTTGTATAATCCTCTCTTGAACAAAGAAAACCTCCCACTTGGAACTGCTGCTCAGATATTGGGATGAGCAGCAGCTTTTCAATACCTAAAATGGTTTGCAGGACTCAGGTGAAGGAAACGGAGCCTGTGGCATCGCATAGCATGAGGTTGTGTTATGGCTGGGCCAGTGACCCAGCTTGTTGCTGCTGTGGGGTGCAGGTCCTGTTTGTGCTTTCCATGAGCCTCCTCTTACTTTTCTGTCCTTTCTGCTGCTTTTGGTGCCCTGTGAGGAGCCAGTTCAGTTTATTAAGGAAAAACCCTTTTTGTGTGTGTGCCTGTTTTCACTTTGTTGACTTTCTGCTGGCTTATTGAGTTCAGCTGGCTCAGTGCAGGGAACAGTTGTGGACAGTGAGTAGGATGGTCCTCATTTTTGGTAATGGCTCACTTGTAGCATGCAATTCCATCCACAGTATTTTCATTTGGAGCATGTGTTTTGGTAAGATGGGCTGAGTTGATGCTACATGCTGCTCACTTCTGCTCTGGTCGTGTGCTCCTGTCACTTTCCCACCACCAGCTTTAGCACTTGTTTGATCACTCTCCTTGTGGAAAGGTAGGATGAGCACAGAGCAGGCAGGTTTATGTGATGAGGCACGTGGGAGGAAGGAGATGCGGAACTGAGGCCACCTCTCTTAGCAGCAGCGAGCTGTTACATTGCCTCTGCCTCTCCCATCTCCCCTTTTCTCCAGTGATGCTTGAACCCATCACTCAAATCTAAGAGGAGCAAATGCCTCCAAGATAGTTTAGTTTCTGCAAGATCTGCGAAAGACCAAAAAAGGAAAGAGATCTCAGATGCCCCCACAAGATGGGAAAGGCTGGAATATGAACTCTTGATGTTAGAGCCTAGAGCATTCATTTGCGGGAGATTACAAGTCCCAGTTACTAACAATCTTCACTTAGAGCTCACAGTCGAGAAACATGGTATGTTGTGATATCCCTGGATGTACTTGCTC